GTCGCATTTCTTCGAAATCCGCTTTGACGCCTTTACCAGCAATTTCATCGAACGCGTTGCCAACAACAGACACGGCACCATTCTCCCCCGCATACTGCCTAATTGCATTTGCGAGCGGGTGAGATGATGCAGATTCTAACTCCGCGACGATTCCGAGAAGCGTCTTTCCAGGCACCGACGAGAGCAGGATCTCGGCATCAGACACTCGGGGCTCGCCACCTTCAGTGAGTGTTCCGGTCTTATCGAACACAACGACATCAAGTTGCGCCATGTCTTGGAAAGCCTCACCACCTCCGCGGGCCAAGATTCCACATTTAGCTGCAATGCCGGAGCCTACAAGAAGAGCGGTAGGTGCTGCCAGGCCAATGCCACAAGGGCACGCCACGACGAATACTGCGATTGCAAACTCGAGAGACCAGATGACTACAGAGCTGATGTCAGTACAAAGTTAAGTGAATCGCCTGGAAGACACTCACTCCATCCGCCTTGACTTGTATCCAAGTAACTCCTAGAGATAGCACCGCTAACACCCAAAGCAAGCCATATCAACCAAGTGACGATCGCCAGTAAAGTGATGATCGGGACAAAAACGCCGGTGATGTGGTCTACAATACGCTCAATCGGTGCCCTGCGAGTCTGGCCCTCACGGACAATCTGCACAATCTGGTCCAGCCTACAGAACTAGGTCAATACAATATTTGCACCATCAAAATTAATCAGCTAACATTGTGACACCACCAATAGCGTCCACTCGAACGTCTACTGCCCTAGACATGTTGATTGTTCCAAGAAGAACCTTGTCCCCAGCATTCTTCTTGACGAGTCTAGCCTCGCCCGTCAAAGAGCTTTCGTCAAAGGACGTCTCCGCACCAGACACGATTGTACCATCTGATGGTGGCGTGGCACCATTTTGCACACGTACCACATCGCCAACCTCCAACAGGTCAACAGGCACCCTTTCGAACCTGAATGCAGGAGACGCAATAAAGCTACCGTTATCAAATGACACGTCACATTTTTCGGGATCATTGCGGGGAACGATCGCGGGGGTAATAGGAGCAGAAGCAGAGTTAATGGTCAGTAGAAGAGCTTCAGAGGGGCGAAGCAAGCTGAGCGCAGTGATTGCATCAGCAGTCCTCACTTTACTATATGCGTCGAGGTAACGCCCTGATAATTTATATGATATCAGGCAAGATATGCAACACATGGGCCCTACTCACCAAGAAGTAAAAATAGGGTCAAGAACACGACAGCGTCGAAATATGTGGTATCTTGTGCTGTACCGCTACTCGCAGGTGGCTGTGTGGCTGCAAGAATGAGAAGCGCGATCGACGAAAAGTAGGCCACAGATACTCCGGTAGAAACCTATTTAAATATGTCATCCCCTTATGACATCGCGGATAACACGGTGCATACCAGAAGGTTCATACTCCCAAATCTAGTAAAACGCTTGATAATGGGAGACGTGCTCCCTTTCCTCCATAAAGACCTGATTTCTTTGATACTTCGACGATGAAACAAATCGGCACCATAAAAGTATACTGGGGTTGCGAGAAAGAAAAGCGCCCACTCAATCCGGGACGCATTTCCTTTCCACATGGGCTCCATCAGGTATTGCTTCGTGGGACTTGGAACGAGACTCATGTAAACTACGCCGATGATGAACGTGGGTATCGCCATTATAAATGTGAAAAACAGGCGCAGAAGCAAGGCTCGTTTCTCGCGCTGCTGCATACTGCGTGTGAGCTCTTCGAGCGTAGGTGGACAATGAATCGATACGGAGTATGATGTCGGCTCCACAGACACGATGGACGAGATGATAGAGCGGATGGTGAAGTTCGGAGGTGATGGCTTGTATGATACTTGCATTATGGGGTCCAATTGGTTTGATAACGATTTGATAATGGCAACGTCTGGCTGGAGCCTTTGTAAGGCGGTCATAATCTTTGCTGGACAGTTTCTGATTAACAGATATCAATAAGACTGGATGTGACAACAGTGCAAATCGACGCACTGGCAATACATTCCATCAACACGAAGGGATAAAGTCCGAGGACCCGTTGCACTTTCTGATGTTGATGGGATGAGTGGTTCGACCTTGACGACGTCGACTTCGTAACCACAGTCATCGATCGTTTCGGTCACAGAACCAACAAGGTCCCTTCGAGCAACAACCACCGAGGCGGAATGATTAAGCAGGCTAACGACTACTTCGGAGATCCCAGGGAGTTGCGAGACCATTTCGGTAATAGTACTTGGACATGCGGAGCATGTCATGCCACCTACGGACAATGTGACGAGATGGGGCACGTCATCAACGCTAACTTTATGCGAGGATCTTGGACTTAATTCTGGGTCCTTCTCTGATCCCACCATCGTAGAGCGATCCGTCGGAGAAACACTGTTGGAAGTTAGGTCGCCGGCATTACCCCGCAAGGGCAGTGGAACTATGTCCTGGAGTGCCGTAGCGGTTACCTCCTGACACGACAAACATTGTTGTATATGCTTTTGACGTTTTCCAGAAAGCGCGGTACTCAAATTCATTTGTCGTGAAAGCCTTCGCTCAGAGGCTGGGTCGGATACATCAAACCCAGCGTCTTCGAGGATGGCATGTATGGAGTGTCTGAGTATTGTAATGGCATGCCAGACTGTCACTGACTGGTGGACGATGGATATGTCTACCCTCGTTGGAGGGGGTGACAGAGAGAAGAGCACTTGGTTAATTGTGCTTACACAACTGCGAAAAATAATAACATTAGCAGAATAACATCAAGACCGTTATATATGTATACCTGCTGCAGTGAAGATTAGATACGAGGACAGTGGTGTCATGCGTCTGACTCTGAGACGGCATCACGGTATTCATAAGTGTGAAATAAGAGATACGATGGGTGGGAAGAGATGTATGGGAGTTGGGGGGACATTATATAGTGGTGAAAAGGCCTAACTTTTATCAGTAGCCCTGGTCGGTTGAAATTTGAGGAGTATTAGAAAATAAAATCAGCAAAATTGCCTCAACTTGAATGTTATTACGTCATATTATTAGGTGTTTCCTGAGAGCCTCATCTTTAAGTTTGACCCTCGGTTTGCCGTGAGCGAGATGTCAAGGTGAGCAGGATGTTAACGGGCCTCCAATCTCACCTGGATGGCTGACCGCTCAGCGCTAAGGCCTAACCCTCGGAGTAGAGTATTTTCAAATGTAAGTAATTCTTCTCATCACATAAACTCAGGGACCAAATGCGAAATTTCGCTGTCGACTCATGTGCTGGTACTTATAATTAGACACCAACTCGGAGGTAAGAAAAACTTCTCAACAAATAGGAATCCAAACCGACCTGGGTATGGCGACCCATGAGTGACTCTCCTCTCGCAAATTAGGATATTTCAACCCACTGAGGTGGCAAATGTCCCCTCTCTCCCCACGTTGGACCTCATGCCTTCCGCACCGTCATTGCCTTGATTGGGCTATTGATGTTGCGTGAGAGGTCAATGATCCATTAACTGGAGGTCGGCGGGAGCGAGCGACCCATAGAAGTCCTAGATCAGCATCTTCAAACAGACAAGCAAGAGCTCTGAATGGTGGTAGCCTCTTGTCGGCCGCAGAACGGACGAACGAGCACTGATGCCAGTTACCGAAACTGGTCATCCTCGTTGCTGGCAGCAAGTACTTAATATCCCAGTCAAAACACGCTACATGCATGCACATACGTGTGTACAAACATCTCAAAATGATCTGGGTAAGGCCGTGTATAAGAACAATGCGTTTTGGTAGTATCCAGGCGTGCGAGACTGTATATCATGTTTCGGCTACGAACATTGCAAAGCGAGTACGACGACAATAGATGAGAGCATCATGAATGTGATGAGTGGGTGTGAATAATGTAGTGAGCGAGTGAGACGAGGTTGGTCATGATACAGCGAATGAACTGATGGAACGAGAGCAGTGACAAAGAGCCTGAGAATGAGAGGCCACGACGAATGTAGAGACGATGTTTGGGGCTGTGAAGTGAAGAAACGAGCCTCTCGTTATGCAGTTGTGGGCCGCTTCCTCGTCCCCTGGGACTCCTTTGAATGCACTGGTGTCTATGTTCGAGGAACTGACAACGAGCTCGTTGTGCGGCACTCTGGTAGTCTTTCCGTGAGATCGAGCCTCCTTTAGTATGCTTCAAATGAGATGTGGTTCCACCTTCATGTTGTTGTCCCCATTCACTACGGCAAAATTCTCTAGACACCGAGTAAGCTATAAGTGGACCACGACACGTTACCAGATGATCAACTTAGCCATTGCACGTATTTGCTTTGCCTTAACTAGTAGTTCCTTCTTTGCTCCGATAGCAGGATTGAATTGACGGTCGTTGTGAATTTGACATGGGGAAGGGTAGACACGTCATCGGGAGCTTCATGCAGCACGCGATCCTGGAACTGGGAGGAAAATGATATTGAGTGCTAGGAAGTGGGACACGTGTCGCCAGAGTCATCGACGTCGGCCGATGCATTGGCGCGACTGCTGAACTGAGCTATGAGATTGTCCTGGACCCTGGTGAACTGAGTCGATTCCGGCTAGTACTGGGAATGCTCAGGGTAATGATGGCATCTCTACAGTTGTACGAGTACCATTTCGACTCGGAGACTGTCTCGATTGATCTTGTTCGAAAAGTGCACATACATCATCCTAATTAACTGGTAAGTAACTAATTCTGATGCAAAAAATACAACCTATGTATCCGTCGAAGATGTCTCCTGGATTGAGTCTGTTCTCTTCAGCTGCCAGTCTCCATGCAGCAATATCATCGACCAGGTGGCTGGTAAACACGACACTGGTCACTGTGAATTCATTGTCTAGATAAAAAATAAGATTACGACGCACTGCGATATTCAATATTCAATAGCCAAAGATGTGGATGTGTGTGCACATGTTATGCTTCTGTGTGCCGAAGTCGTGTTTCGACTGCAATACTGACTTGGTAGTATTTATCGAGCAAGAGCAAATACGTTGAATACAAGTCGATGGGTGCCCCGGTGGCAGTGTAACTTAAAGTTAGCACGTGAGCGCTACCAAGCTCCAGCTGCAAACACATTTATCAACGCAAGCAACTGTGATGAACTCATTTAGCGCCCCTCCATTACCTCCAGGGTGGACGGAGCACGTTGGTATGTGTCTCAAAACGCACTAGGCGCTCTAGTTGTTAACCTACATACATACAGGACCTGCGGGCCAACCATACTACTACCACGCCGGGACACGAGAGTCTACCTACGTTCGGCCACTTCCTGCGTTCCCTATTATCTCACAAGCTATCATCCCGCAGCCTCCAAAGAAGAAAGACAAACCGTCGGTCAAAACCCCGATACCTGGTACAGAATGGCTTCGTGTAACGACGACGGAGGGGAACATATTCTATTCACACAAGGCGAAGAAGCAGAGCGTGTGGACCGTGCCGGGGGAAATAAAAGATGCTCTTGAAGCATTTGAGCGTGCCGAGAAACATGAAGACGCGCAGAAGCAACAACAGGAAACAAAGGGAAAGGACGTCGAGAAGTTGGGGTTCGAAGAGGAGCAGGAGCTCAAACGGATTAAGACAGAAATGCAGAGCCTTGTAAAGCGAAAAGCGGAAGAACCTCAACCTTTGGACGAGGTTGTGATTTCGAAAAAGGCGCGAGTAGAAGAAGAGGTTGAAGGCGAAGAGGAGGACGAGGACGAGGAAGGGGAGGATGATGATGACGATGAGAGCGAGGAGGAAGAGTGGCAACGCGAGGCTGCTGCACAACTCGCTGCTGAAGCAGAGGAGGAGAAGAAGAGGCTGGAAGAAGAAGCTAAGTTTGCACAGGAAGCAGAAGACACAGAAACCAAGAAGATGCAAGAAAATGAGAGGTCTCAGCTCAACATGCCCGATCGCGTCGATCTCTCTATTGAAGAGGCTAAGGCATTGTTCAAGGTCCGTCACTACCTCTTGATTGATGACACCTTGGTTAACTTCATCAACCAGACCTTACTTAGGGAAAAGGATATCAGTCCTTTACACCCTTGGGATACTTCATTACCCTTGTTTATATCAGATCCGCGCTACGTCCTACTCCCTTCTGTTTCAGCGCGTCGTGATGCATTCGATGAATACTGTCGGGATCGTGCGCGGGAACTACGGCAACAAAATGTCAAGAAAGAAAAGGCAGAAGCAAATCCTAAGGAAGAGTATGAACGACTTCTTAGCCAAGAAGTGAAAAGCACGAGAGCATCCTGGTCTGACTTTCGAAGGACATGGAGGAAAGACCGGCGATTTTACGGATGGGGGAGAGATGACCGAGAGCGAGAGAAACGATTCAAGGAGTATCTCAAAGAGCTTGGAGAGAGTACGAATTTTGTTATGCTTCACGAGTGATGTGTTTGGCTGACATTTTTCAATCTAGAAAAGCGTATAGCCGCCGAGAAGGCGGAGGCGGATTTCTTTACTCTTCTGCGGGAGAGCGGTATGGTCAGGTCAGATTCATCATGGAAGGACGTAAGTATCTGCCTTATCGTCATCCGATATGCTGAAAGTTTGTATTCTAGGTGAAACGAAAATTATCCCATGACGCACGATATGGTGCTGTCGGGTCTTCGTCTCTGCGTGAAGAGCTATTCCAGACCTTCCTCAAGGCACACGGGTCTTCATCTTCGCATTCAACCTCTACTAAAGTTACAGATGAAACGGGAAAACATGATACAGAAGAAGATGCCGAGCAAAAGCGCAGAGACAAGAAGGAACAAGCCCTCAAAGAACGTGAACAAAAGGTGAGAGCTGATCGTAGTCGTATGGACGCCGAAATAGGGCGCTCCAAGATGGGTTTGAACCTGGAGGAAGGTGAAAGAGAATTCCGGTGAGCCGCCTTTACTTTCCATAATTCAAGAGTCCAGGTCACGTCGCTCAAATTCTTTCCATTTTCTTGTTTAGCACACTGCTTACAGACGCAGTGCGAGATCCACAGGTACGGTTACTTTTTTCTTCGAGGCAGTCACTAATCCACATCTCATCATAATCGCAGGCTACCTGGGAATCGATACGTCCCCAACTACAAACCGATCCTCGATTCAATAACTCCCCTCTCCCTGTAAATCAGCAATTGCATCTCTTTCATACACATATGAGTCAGTTGCAGATGAAACATTTGGCCGGTCTACATTCGTTGTTCCAAGCCCATGCTCCATCCTTAGCAACGCCATTCTCTGCTCTTCCGCTTGAATCCATATTAAAATCGCTTCCGGTGACAAAACTCGCCTTTGACACTCGTGGTCTCCAGCATGAATATGAGAAATGGCAACGCGAACGGACATACGAATGCAGAAAAGCATTCGACGAGATGCTTGCGGAGAATTCCTTTGTTGAGTTCTGGGGAAGACTGGGAAAAATCGGAGGTGAAGGAGTCGAGGGAGGGGTCAAAGCAGATGATTTAGGTGAGGATGAAGGCGAAGCTTTTGGTGGAAAAGGTCGACATGAAAGCGCTCGCAAAGAGTGTGGACCTTTCGGACATCGAGAAAGTGCTGAAGGTATGGCCAGTCGTTCGTGGAATGGATGTGACAACTAATTAATTGTTAGAATGATAAGAGATACATTATGTTCGAGCATGTGGCAGCACAGCGGGAACGATGGTTAAGGGTGAGTTGAAAGAAGGGTTTGGGATTTGCAACCTTGTCTGATTCATGCTAGGACTATGTCGCAGGTCTGACTGCACCTAAACTATCTGTTCATGTGTAGCATAGTTAATTCATGTACTTAGTAGCTCAAGCGCTCATCTCCTCGAGTTCTTCATTTGATTCACAGAAGGAACACGCGTGTCGTCAGGTGACACTCGAAGTCAGTCACGTGATATCGAACACGTCAGTACTTTCATACTTCAATAAATAGCTGCGGTACTGCTGTTGGACTTCAAAGCACCAGACAAAGACCAACTCTCGTTCCCAGTTGACTCACCCGACAATGCGTCTGCTGAGTCCTCTAATCCTGTCACTTACAGCCCTCTCGTCGTGCGTTTTTGCGCAAGATGCAGGTGCTAATAAGGTTAAATATGACTACCAGGTAGGCTCCGATTCTGTTTCAGTGTATTAATATAGCTTAGCAGATGATTTGTTTGACAGAGCGATGTTGCACGCCTGCGCAAGATAGTTGTCAACAGGTGCAGTAGCCTCACATTAGAGTCGACGTCGAGCGCTATTAACTATGTACTACGTACTGCAGTCTTTACTCAAACAGGTGACATTGCAATCCCTGAAGCTTTACACATTCTCTTTGCTGAACCCACTTATCTCAGGGACGTGTTCTTGCGGGAACTCATTTCAAACGCCAATGATGCACTCGAAAAGCTTCGGCTCATCGCGCTCACAGAGAAGAGTGTATGGGATGGTGTCTCCCCTCTGAACCTCACCATCAAAACGGAGAAAGATCCCAATGGCGAGGGTGGTCGTATCATCATTACCGGTATGAATCACTTTGCACCATGGTATGTCGCAGTACTTACTGTTGTGCCCAGACACCGGGATTGGCATGAGTGCAGCGGAACTGACAACTAACCTGGTATGAGCGTCATCGTCTTACTGAGCGCGAGTGTGACATAACAACACTTTGAATATAGGGCACTTTGGCAAAGTCTGGAACTTCTGACTTTCTTGCGGGAGTGGACGGCGACGACTCGACCGCAAGTGGCAATCTTATTGGTGCATTCGGACTTGGTTTTTACAGCAGGTCAGTGCAACTTTCGAGTCCGTGGACACATGGTTAACTTTCTACAGCTTCCTTGTAGCAGATAAAGTCACCGTTGCATCTTTATCCCCACCCTCATCCAAGAATCCTAACCCTATCCAGAATGTCTTCAGTTCTTCTGCGGATGAGGGTTCATTCGAGATATACCCTGACCCACGCGGAAATACCCTCGGGCATGGAACTGAGATTACACTTTATTTGAAGGGTGACGCTTCCCATTATCTTGTGACCTCTAACCTCATGAAGCTTGTGTATGTATCTCACTCTATCTTGTTGCGCATCTTTTTGAGAAGTATCTCAGTAACCAGCACTCTGGATTTTCGACTGCCTTCCCGATTTACATTTGGTATGAGGCCGAGGAAGAAGTTCCCGACGTAGACGAAGAGGTTGTTCTAAATGAGCAAGAAGAGAAATCTACTGACGTGGATGAGGATGAAGCCGTGGTGGAGGAAGATGCAGAGAAGGAATCCGCATCTCCCAAGATGAAGAAGGTCATAGTTGGTCACTGGGAACACTTGAATGCGCAGCCTCCCCTCTGGATGCGGTACGTTGTTGCTCTTGCTCTCGCAAGGATATGCTCACCTTCTTGCCAGTGATCCGAAGACAGTCACTGATGAAGAATATGAGCTACTGTACCAGGCAACCTTCAAAGACTTCCAGAAACCCCTTGCATGGCATCATTTCCATGGTGACTCGGAATCCGGCGTGTCTTTCCATGCTCTCATTTACATTCCCTCGCGTTTGTGAGTAGTTGTGAGGATGATTATGTGCTTCTCACCCATGTCTTTCAAGGACTGAGGAGTTTTTCAACAAGCCACTCGATAATTCGGCAAAGGACGTCAGACTGCTGGTGAAACACGTGTTCATCACCTCTGACCTAGGTGAATATAGCTTGCCGAAGTGGGCTAGCTGGGTGAAGGTCATTATTGACGGTAAATCGGTTCGGTTCGGGCCCAGGGAATTTGTGTTGACTTCTATCACTAACATCTAGCTGATGACCTCCCATTGAATGTCTCTCGCGAAACCCTCCAGTCCAGCTCTTTCCTCAAGCAGATCAAGCAAATTATTTTACGCCGTCTCATCCAGCTCTTTTCTAAAATTGCTGAAGAAGACCAGGAAAAATATGCAGAGATCACAAAGCATTATGGCCAAGTCTTGAAACTGGCCGCGTCAGAGGACAGTAAAAACCGCCAGAAACTGGCAGCTCTTGTACGCTTTGACACAAACCAACGGGAAGCCGTATCGTTTGACTCGGTCGGTGGCTATCATTATCATTTGGGAGCATGGATCTAAACTTACACCATCCCAGTATTTGGAGAACAGGAAGCAAGGACAAAAGCAGGTGAGTGGTGTTGAGAAGAAATAGAGCAACATGTTTGAAACACAATCCAGATTTTCTATCTCGCTGACATGGGCAAATCCATCGACCATCTATCTCAAAGCGTGTTTGTAGAAAAGTTGCACGCCCGCGGGTACGAAGTACTGCTTCTGAACGAGCCATTGGACGAAATCATGCTTCAAAGCATCCGAAATTGGAAGTAAGCACTGATGACCTTTACAATTGAAAAAATATTTCACTGATGGATTAACAAGAGGTGTCCCATTCCAGGACGTCGCCAAGGCTGGATTGGACTTCGGAGATGGTGAGTTCCTATCAACGTGAGTTTTCGTCATTCTCATCCGCACAGACACCCAAGAGGAGAAGGATGAAATCGCGGAACTGACGGACAAATACGCTCCCCTTCTTGAGTGGTTGAAAATTGAGGCTGGTGACAATGTCAAGAAAGGTGAGTATTCATTTTACGATTATATGACACTCTAACCTGAGGTTGTATATTCGTCAGTGATCGTCTCTAATAGGCTCGTCACGAGTCCTTGTGCAATTGTCGCAGACAGCATGGGTTTCACGGCAAATGTCCAGAAGCTCATGAGTGCGTTGAACTAGTGACTTGGCAGCGCTGGTTGAAACTGAGAAGACATTTTCAGGTGCCACAAGCCGCGGGGCCCAGCAGAACGATGCTATGCAAGACTATATGAAGAAGCAGAAGGTTCTGGAAATCAATCCGCGATCGCCGTTGATCGAAGGCCTCTTAGAACACGTCGAGCAATTGAATGCAGATGGCGATGACAAAGACCTAGATTCTGAGGCACAGCTCAAAGAGGTTACTTCCATCTTGATCGACGGGGCTCTTGTTCGTTCCGGGTTTGAAGTTGCCAACTCCAACATGTAGGTGCTGACAAAACTGATAGAACAATGTCTCATAATGACGCCACGCAGGTTTTTGACTCGTGTGGATAGAGTGCTCAGGCGATCACTGGGTGTCTCTGAGACCGCACCGACAGATAACACCGTGAAACCAGCTCCTCCTGTTGACCCAGAGCTGCCTAGTGACATACCCGATCCTGATGAAGTGAACAGCAACCAGATTCAATTCGAGATGGAGGAAATTGATGAGCATGGAAATGTTGTTCACGATGAACTGTAATGTTGCAGTAGATCTCATAGCAGTTCAACGTTCAGGCTGGTCAATAATAAAATTAGTGTCTATTTACACCTGACCAAACGACTCGTGGGTGATTTTATAGTTTAACAACGTTCAAGTCTGAGTCAAGTATCAAGAAAATTCCTATTGTGTACTTCACAGCTGTGAGAAACGACGACAGACATAATTTCTGGGTATACCAAGGCGAATAATGTACATAAGATATAACGGAGTATCGTAGGGGGTATCGGTAATATTGATGGTAACGCGGGGATCAGTACATAGTTCGTGGTTGATTGTCAAGATACGCGCTACTTGGTCTGTTTCACAGGTTCGAGCGTTTACATGTTCAGTGAGAAGTGTAGGCGAGGCTCCCTCGTGAAGCGAGGTCGGGAGCGGTCCAGCGGGAGCAGTTCAGACGTCAGGCTGGGCCTCCTCTGAATTAAAGTAGACTAGAAAAGAGATTAGAGGGGAAGTAAGATAAAGAGTTCTCGTCCGATTCGAGAGCGCCATCATCCTCTGATGATGAGACACTTCGAGTCTTCCGGCGAGTACGCAATCTCTTAGGAGTACGGGAAGGACGAGATGGCGTTGAAAGCTTAAGCATTCTAATCTTCATCGTCGCATCAAAGACGACGGTCGAGATGATGCACCCAAACGCATCTTTGTGCTCCTCGATGTGAAAGTAGGGGATACCAGACCGGTCATATATGAACGCGTTACGCGAAGCTCGCGATAGTCGCGGCAGAAAGATATCATGAGAGCAAAACGTCTCCAAAGCTGATGCCTCGGGATGATGTGCACCTTGGTGTCTAGGGAAATGTGCGCTTTCCCGGCTTGTACTCGCTGCTCGTCAGTTCAGCGACTACCTTGATCCGCGCCCACCCGTAGGTCATCCGGCATGATAATGTCAGGTATGCGGCGGAGATCTTCCCCCTTATCGGGACAGTGGAGTGGGCCCACTCTATATGCGATTGCCGAAACAGACAATTCTTGGTGCTGCGCAAGCACAGTGGTGCTGAGGGCATTGAAAATGCTTCCGTCGTTATTCTCGGGGCGTTTGTTTTCCTTTGATTACCTTTGTTGACCGAGTCCTTGAGGCCTTGGGTGCTAGTTTTGATATCTCACAGCGGCGTAAGGTCAATTTCAGCTTTATAAGTTTGTTGATTCGCTCATTGCGATGAGCGAGGGGGATGAGAAGGAGGTCAAGACCGGAAGATGTGGGAAGATGGTAACCAAGCTTGTTACAGTTGCCCCGCCTCTGAGAGGGACAATCCTCGATAACCAGACAATTTGATTCCCGTGTAGCTAGCTTGTCCATTGTACATAGCTACGTCGTTGACGAGAGGAAAGAGACGACACCGTGACTTTTATCGATATCCCGAGGTTTAGCATTGAAAAATGATGACCACGTGGGAGGCTATGCCACCTCTCAAGTTGATCCCACCACAGTACTTGGGTATTATAACACCGTCGGCAGCACCACCCAGAACGTCCATATATATATACGACAGTCCACGCTGAGCATTTGCTGGCCTTCACAATCATTTCTAGACTGGACGCGAGTTTTCCGTCTGTACATACTTCATGGCTACGCCCGCAGCCTTCTCCCGCCTTCAATTAGCTGCAGCGCTACTTGGTAAGTGTGCGAGACTTGATTGACCGACACCCTTCACAAAGTCTCTTGCAATTGCAGAGTATGACAATGATCCAACCAACCCCAACTTGCCCCTGGTCTCCGCACATGACAGCGCTATCTTCGCTCATCTCCGAAGAGGGCAGTCTCGTAAGAGTACTGACTACCTCGGAGTATCTGTGCCCAGTGAAACAGGCGATTCTACTCCAGGGCACCGAAGGTCTAGAAGCTCTATCGACGGACTGAGGAATCCTTTCGGAGCTGATGATGACGAGGAGCTCGAAGACGAGGAAGCTGGCGAGGTAGATCTTGCTTCATGGGGCCTCGACGGATTCATCAAAGACAAAGCAAAAGCAAAGGGCAAGGCGAAGGCTAAGTCAGAGGTGTTGCCTAACCCTCATCCGGTAGTGATGACGTATCGAAATGCCCGGAGCGCTATAGATGACGGACCTCGGGGAAGATTGTCCCGCCCAATCAGTATGGGGACTATGGATGACTTTGGCGTTGGAGGTGCTTTCTTGGACGCTGAGAACACTGCTGGTTCAGACATTGCTCGTCCTCGATCTTCGGCTGACTTGGAACGGATGCAATCCCCTCAGCGTCCAATGCCACGTCGCCGTGAATCTAGCCACGCTCTCATTGAGACAATGCCTGTTGTACCTCCTCTTCATTCTGTTCCGTTCCCGTCTGTCTCAATTCGAGATGGTTCTCCCGGTGGAGAAAGACCTGCTTCACGTGCTGACTTACATACCCGTACTCAATCCGACACTAGTATGGGCTCAAAGAACTTCTTGAGCGGCGCAAATGTTGATGCGGACGGCAGTCCCTTTTCTGTCCGACCCCCTTCACCTGACCGTGCATCCCGGTTTGATCCCAAAGTCAATCACGGCAGATCACCGTCTAATGCAACGATGGGTACCATGGCATCCAAGAATATACTTGCGGAGGAGAACCCCTTTGCTGTAAGACCTCCCTCTCCTTCCCGGTTGTCACGATTCGATCCCAAAGTTCGTGCGCGAACAATGTCAGTTGGGTCAATGGGTACTCGGGTCCTCATTGATAATGACACCGAAGCAGACTCGCACAGGGATCGACCTTATTCCACCGTTGAGCTACTTAGGCCAAAGGTTCTGGTTATGCCAAGCCCATTGCAAAATGTGGCTCCTCCCCCTCCTCCCCCTCCCTCCTTTACACCTAGAATTGGGTTTGAGACATCTACAGATGGCCCACCCTTGCCACCAGGTGCTCGCTCTGCGAACCGTTCGTCTACCTCTTTAACGAACTACATGACTCCCGCGTCAGCACCCATAGCATCCAATTCTTTCACTCCTAATCCTCGAGCAAGTCTTACGCTGTCTCAACTCGCTTTTCGCAACACACTTGTGGTCGGAGGGCAAAGAGATATTGCGTACTCTGATATTGACCGTCATCTTCCTCGAGCGATGAAAGATGGTGAACAAGCGAAGTTCGAGGAACCAGAAGAAGAAGAGTCTCCTGTGCCCGTTTCGATACCCCTCCCTCCTGTTCCTCCTCCCACTGAAGTGGAAGTGAAGCGCCCAGCTGGGAAGCTCTATGGAAGGAGTTTGATAGATAATCTAGAACATCGCAAAGCGGAGATAAAGCAGAAAGCTCGGTAAGCATCTCAATTTTTTTCAGTACCGTCCTGACAGTCACTTTAGTGTCTTCACTGGTGACGAAAGACCATCGATGATGGTCCGGGGTCAGATTCGCCGATCAAGCACTCTCATAGACCCTCAGACACTTGGTCGTCACCCTTCACAGAATCTTGACAATGTGATTACTCCAAATCCTCGCATGTCTCTCTTACGCCGGAACTCCTCTGGCAGCAAGCCTCTCCTGGACATGGATGGAGAAAAACCTCCCACGAATCTTGGTCCAGGGGCAGAGCAGCTCTTGTCTAAAAGTCGCTCGGTGTTTGGTGTGGATACGCTGTGGGATCTTGAAATGGCCAAGTTGAAAAAAATGGAGGCAGAAGAGAAAGCTGAAGCTGAAGTGCGGAAGAAGCGAGAAGAGGAGGAAGAGGAACATCGGAGCAAGAAAAAGAAGAAAGGAAAATTCAAAGGAAAAGGTAGCGCCATTCCGCTAGAGTCCACTTCACCCGACCTCCCCTCTGGACCACGAGTAGGCTCGACCCCTCCCACTTTGCCTGCCATCCAGAAGCCAATTCTTAAGCGCGCACCGCAGGTTGATGAGAGTGAAACCGACAGCGATTGTGATGATGCTGTGCCAAAGGCAGCTCTCGAAAAAGCGGCTGACCGCTGGGTTTCTGAGTCTTCAGACGAAGAAAATGAACTCAGACGAACCACTGGGGTTGGGCTACGGTATTCATCCCATACCAACGCATCTCCTCAGTCTCCACAACTAAATGGCGATGACAGCGAAGAAGATCTTCCTTTGACAGCCGCTGCTCAGCGTGCTGTCAGGCGAGCATCGCAATTGGGGCCATTAGGCTTTGAAGATGATTCGGAAGAAGACATCCCGCTGACAGCAGCAGCAGCTAGGATTGTCAGACGGACCACCCAGCTTTCGCATCATGCAGATGACGAGGATGAGGACGAGGATAAGCCCCTGGTGGATGTCATCAACAAGGCCAGATCTGTCAACTTCGATGGCCGATCCCGCGCGGATGAAGATGAGGACGAGCGGCCGCTTGGTCTAAGGGCCTCTAGATTACCACTGGCCTCTCAGACATCGTTGCCTTTCATTGGCGGTGAAGAAGATGATGACAAGCCACTGGCTTTCCATCCTGAGCAACAACGTCGAACACAGTACCAGATGTTCGCCCAAGCTCAGCAGCAACAACAAATGATGATGCAAGCTCAAATACAGAACAACATGTTTTTCAACCCCGCCATGATGGGATCCGGCATTTTCACACCTATGGCTGTCCCTTCAATGATGATGGGTGTACCAATGGCTCCCCCTTCACCTCCCCCAGCGCACGATGCAGGCAAGTATGGTCGTGTGGACAGGTGGCGACGTGATGTTGCTGTGGAGGGTGAGTGAGAGCTGAGCAGTTTGGGTTGGGTTCATGTTTCTTTGGTTTTATATTTGCTTTTTATCGCAGGATTTTTTATGAACACTCTTTGGACATTTGCTCACTTTTTACAATTCTAGTCAGTCCTTTAATGTCCGTTGCATACAGAAATACATCGGTATAGTCGAGATCAAAACGCGTGAATAGATCTACGTGAGAAATACCGAGGAGCATTGAACAAATCCTTGAATGGTGGTATGGATTAAGGAGTATGCAGTTATGGTACGATGACATAGGGAAGGAGGGTGCCGATAAGTAGTACTATGAAACGCAAATAACACATAGAATGAGTGGCCATGGAATGGTTGATCAACAAGTTCATGAGGGGTTCGTTATCCATAGCCTGCGCTTGGGGACTGTGACGATAGACACCTCTCGTCTACCCATCTCTTCTTCTATCCGCCGCTGTCTGGTCTCTTCATCTACATCCTCCTCATCGTAATCTGTTTCGACTGAGCGAGGCCCACCGATAGTTGTGGACACATCATCATGAGCCCTGGCAGCGCGATAAGGAGGTTCATGGAGGTATGGGCCGCGAGTATCGGTGGGGAAGGGATATTGTTCGTTGCCCACCATTGACAACGGACGGGAGGTCGGGGTCCCGGGAGAAACAGTCGGCGGAGGCTCCACGCGAAACCGGGCTATGAGGTAAGTAAGTGTGGACCTCCTTGGTCGACCATGCCATGCGAGAGTAAAAAGGCAAATATAAAAGATAAAAGTCCATAGAAGAAATATTGCAAAGAGTGCTAGATGAGCCCAATTCCACAGCGCGATGAGGGAAAGAATGCAAAGAGCTAAAACGAGAGTATGGAAGAGGACACGAAGGCATATCTCAAACAACGAAGGCAGCTCGTGAGTAACGTGGGGAAATGTTGGTGTAGGCATGAGAGCACGGGTGCTGCTCAACATCTCTGCGGTGTTGGGAGTAGAGCTATTGATGAGGTTGCGTTGACCTTGGCCAGAAACAAGATCGAGTTCGTTCTGAGATGACATTGAGTTTCTTCTGTGAGAAACAATTAGAAAGAGGTCGATGCTCACCACTGCGTTCAGACTGCGGCGTCGATCAAGCCAGTCTACGTCACCCAAACTCCTTGGTGCAACAGGTACGCGTTGATATGCATCTACATTCGGATACGCAAGCCCATTTGCACTGGATCTACGAATACGTGCTGGGCGATTGACGACCTCAAATGCTCGTTGCGGCCCAGACGAGTGCACAGACTCGCTGTCAGTAGAGGTTCTTCCTTCCCGACTCCTGCGGCCCAGCAAGAAGCTTGAACCACCCCAGGAATGTAAACGGGTGCGAGGAGTATGTTGGGAAGGGGGATACTGTGAGTGCTGCGTGGTAGTGTATGCTGCGAGCTTCTCAGCAGTGTCGGTGGAGTCGGCGCGAGAAGTAATTGCCTCTGGACTGACCCCTTTCGGTGGCTGCGATGGCGAGCAGCACAGATGAAAGAGATATAAAAGGGGCATCATCACATAGAGTGCGATGAATAATACAAGTCCTGCGACTCCATGCCCAGTTGGTAGAACTGTACGGGACGTAGCACGTTTCACTATGTTTCCTGTGGAACTCATTGACGTGAACGCCGAAACGAGACCCCCAACACCAGCAGCGTATGCTGCAAGAGCTACAATAGTTGATAAATAGAAGAGAGCAAGATTACGATCCGTGGGACGATGTGTTTTTGCTGGAGGCAGAGCCAGACGTAAAAGAAGGAGGGATGGCAGAAGAATGGCAAGAGAAAGGGGTGCCAGTAGTCTGTGCATCAAAGAGACATTATACGACTGCTGGTATGACTGAGAACCACTTGTTGTAGCCGGGGAACCAGACGGCGTAGTAGAACTAGAAGACATGACCTGCACCGCACATTGAGTCAGGAATTGGACGGTAACGTTAGCACCATTGGCGTTGATGCCTGTCTGAAGATTACCAGGCGGAGCTCCCCAGTCACCGCCTGAGGTTGAAATGGATCCATTGTACGCTCTCAAGATCCAAACTTCCGTGAGGTATTCACCGGATTCATCCTGACCTCCGAAGACAATGGTATCAGAAGCCACAGTTTTATCCGAACCGACAAGAGCCTGAGAATAAGAAAGGGCAACGGCGCCCTCCCGAGGTGTGGGATATGTCTGAACGCCATCTTGGCCCGGATCACCGGCCGGGAGGACTCTGCTCCAAACGCCTGATCCAATGTCCAGAACTGCAACCTCGCCCTTCTGCAGCCCACCTTGGTCGTCCCACAATGAGGAGTTGAAAGTCCCAAGTAGAAGGAACACCTGGTTCCCATAACTGGAAGAGGAAGGATTCAGGTTCGGAGCCAGCGAACCTCCGTATCGTGGAACAGGACACGAGGGAGGAGTGATTGACGTGTTTGATCCTACTCCCAGGACATACGAGTTACCCTCGGCACACGATTCATTCGAGTTATCGGTCGTGTTACAGCCGCTCACAGAGATGAGCTGGGTCTGAACGACTGTGGAAGCCTGATTGACGCTGTAGCCTCCACTGCTGCCAACGGGTTGGTTACTCCAAGCACCATATGTGTTATTAGTCGCCAAATTAGATGATAACGTTCCGGAGATGGTGAAATCCCAAACATCCGATAGGGGAAACATGTTTGTACCATCGGTGCCACCAGACATGTAAAACGTGTTGCTTGTTGTGGTAGCATTAGGCGCTACTGTATCATCTCGGCCACCAGAGGCGCCCCAACGTGGTGGTGGACCACTTGTCGTTACAGTGACTTCGGACCAGAATCCGTTTATAAAATCAAATTCCTGGATAATGATGAGAAAGCCTGATAGACTGGATGTTGCGAGTGACACGAACCCATACGTCGGACAAAATTTGCCCAGAAATCCCCTTTCCACCCATCACCAAGTGAGCATGCCGACTGACAAATTATAAGACGGACAGAAAAATGAGCAGAATGTGTGATACTTACTAACTGGAGGAGAAGTCTTCACCGCTGACAGCCATGTACCTGGCTGGGGGTGAACCTTGTGGTAGACCCACCTCAGGCTGAGGAGTACTCCATTCAAGTGAGCCAAGGTTCAAACTGGAAACATTTTATATATAACACAGAAATGTTTGAATCCAGGAAAATTGCACATACAGGTAGGTTTGGTCTGTTGGGATACCACTAGATGATTCACCACCGAAAATGATAAGGTTACTTGACGATGGATCGTAACCAATGGATGGATATTTGACGGCGGCTGGTGTTGCACCCAGTAAGCTACCGGTGATATTGAGCCATTGTAATGGTGGAACTGTGAATATCTTCTGGGCATGAGCTGTCGAGATATATTTCATAAAGAAAAGCCAAGCAATTGCAGAACATTGACAAAAACCGGTTGCCATAATGCTCGTATCGGGTGTAAGATATTGGTGTCGAAAAGTCGTATATCGCGAGCTGACGCTCGTTGTGAGCAACTACAGCGAATTGGAGACCAGAGTTACTAGCTGTGAGAGGTCCTGAAGGCGTTGGTTCGCCGTGGCTGCGAGCAACAACATCCCCGACCATCCACGGCTCAATTTTCCTATTTAGGAATCCGTTCGTGTGCTGGAATCTCGCGTGGTTCAGTCATTCCAAGGCTTAGTATGCTAGGCTCGTGCCAAGTGACTAGCCTTGCGTACACTACCACGGCCGGACAAGTCGAGTGGCAAATATCATCGCTTATGTTATCTCACTTATTTCTGTTTTCTCCTTCTTCAGCTAAGCAGTGGAAACTATTCGTCTATTTACGTCTTACAATCCCACCGGCTACTCAAGTTGTGCTCAATGGCATCCAACGCTCTAGATCCGTAGATGAGTCAAAGTTTTAACCACCTCCAGCTCCGAGTAATATGTGCTTACCCTCGAAGCTTGCAATCCAACTCTTTCAAACGAGTGTGATTTTATTGGGAATGGGTGTGAGCTCTTCGATAACCTACGTACTAGGGGAGCCAAATTCTAGGTTGTAGGATGCACTTTGGTGATTATACTAGTCCTGGAATTCACTATTCATAAGATTCATCGAAGCCTTGATATTCAGCTAGCACTAACCTGTGTTGCAGCATCTTGGGACCTTGTTCTAATGCACATGACTAGAAGTGTCATCGCTGATGAAGCATTGGCTAGGCTGCGTCGTCGAAAAGTACACCGTTCAATCGCACGCGCGCGGGGCAAGTAATTTAATCGCATCCTAGGAGAGGTCACCTAGGTGGGTCAACTTCTGACATGTCCCTGCGAAACAGCTAGTCTGTAGCATCGTTACGTACCTTACTCTCATACCTCGTCCTCCAGGACTCCAGTGCATATTACCGTGGTTTGACGGTTGTGCCCTTGATATGTGCTGCCAATGCACTAACAGTGTGTTTGTATCACTTTCAAGCATGCGGATATTCGAGTCTGCACGAAACATCTCCACCTGATCAAGTATCCTAGCTGAAGTGCGTCGATCAGGTTCAATTTGATTACCGAACCATTATGATATTCCTGGTAATCGGCATCCAAAATCTGTGGTCGCCGCCGCCACCATGATGCTCTTGACTTGACTGTAACAATCAATTTGATGCTTGGCCAGATCGCCATCGATATTTCATCATGGTCCCCAGTGGCACAGGTTCATATCAAAATCAATTGTTCCAGACACAACGGTTTCAGACAGCAGCTTTTGCAGATCATGGCTCTTTCCCCGTCTGGGAGACTCTCGGGTGATTGGCAGGAAGCCCAAAACCGGGACTATTTTTACGCCTTTTCATCCCAAGTTGAGCAAACCGTAAGATGACGCCCATCTACCACTGCCTCCGACTTTGCCGGAAATGACGCTTTGGGTCCCCGACTCGTCTGATGAATTAATGGCTTGGTATAACAGTTCACCGCTCAACCATGTGTTGACCGGGGATGCTATTGACGTTCTTCCGAACATGCGTCTTGTCATCAGAAGGGTGTCCATGAGGCCGCACCAATGGGGATTTGTTTGCTAGCTGCTTATTGTCTGTCGGCGTGTCAATGTCTAGATCTAGTGCGAACGGAACGCCCACAAAGTGTAAACCCGAGACAAAGGCGGGTGTTGATCTTCTATACATCCTTTAGTGCTTATGATACCACACTAGCCCACGGAGGATGACTGTTCATCAGTGTGGATACTGGTGAAGTCGGCGATGATCTCATCCCCCTTGTTCTTCTAACACAAGTGGCAATCGCAACTCGGACGAGCGAAACAAGGCCGCAAGGGGAATGGCACATTCCCCTTACGACCTTCATCAGTGTACTTACGCAACCATTAATATCTATCCGCCGGCATGTGACATTGCATCCCTCAGGATGTGAAAGGATGTGGTGTTTAGCGCCAGTGAGTACACAGCCAGAAACCTCGCCTGTTGCATTCTGATGGTGGTGACTCAGTGGCATGACGGACGCGTGGAAAATACTGCGGTCAGCCTATCAACGGACTTCGAAAGGGAATATCTGACCCCTTCAAGCTTCAGTAGCTGCTGCCGACCCAATATAAGATATGTCAATATCTTTCTATATAGAAATCAACTTTTCGATGCTTCTCGCTACCAAAATTGGGAGTTATTCACAAAACATATTTTTCCAGCGAATAAGAAAATACGACAGCTAGAAGTTAGCACCGCTCGGGAAAAATTCGATTTTCGCTCTTCACTCGATGAAATTGTGAGCATTATGTACATTCGAATTTTTCTAGTCTGCTTATTGTGGTGGGGGCTAGGGCCTGTGTAGTACGTATTTCATATGTGCCTGGTGGTGCACTGGCGCCCGATACTTGGACCTTGATGATAAGGTCGTGTACTGTAATGGGTGCAATCTTAGGGCCAATTTACTGTGTTTGTGTTATGGAGGTGCATCGAACTTCACTATGTATGTCGAGTAATAATCACGTCCCCCCACTGATCACGACATAGTAGGCCAACTTCTGTGCTTCCATTCTCAAATCAAGCGTTATGAACCGCAGCTCCAAGTAAACATTACCGCCGGTGATAACAACTTGTGATACCTGTGAGGGTCATCTCAGTGACGCTCAACTGAATTTGATTTGGTGTTTCAGAATGAGCTCGGTTGGCGCCTAACCTTGTCTGATAGCTAGCGACGCGAGCTCTGGGAATGTGATCGATGATTCAAATATTCAAAGGCGATACGGGGCAAGTGCGAACAAAGCAACCAGCCAGGACGAGCCTCGACCTCGGTATCGGATCAATGTATGTACGCGGTTGGTTGCTCAATCAATTATCCCCAGTCGTCTGCAATGGTCTGACTTTGAACAACCAAGTTTAACATAAGGACTTGTTTGAATTTTCAGTCTTGTTCGGCAACTTACGTTGCTGTACCATTTCGATAATCTTCGAAGTCGAAGTACTTAGTTCAGGGTCGGCCCGATATCTAAACCTGGCCGCCGCCCATCACGTGCCTCATTGTTTCACCATCAATGCAGTCTGCGTCCGTTGTCAACTGCCATCGCATGCGTACCGTACAAATCATGATTTCCTCACCCGCGAAACGCCTACTCACGGAAGATGAGCGCATTTCTAAGATCGGTTCGGAAATTCAAAGGAATGATGCGTGAGTGACGGAAATCTTGCATGAGCTTGCATTGCATAAACCCATCAAACAACAGTACTCCATCCGACGTGACTGCGAGCATACGCAATGCGGCAATGAGAGTCAGAAAGAGTGAGCTTTACTGTGGCAAGGTACAGCGCGTCGCTAAAGTATAGTGACGCGTATGTGCACGCGTAACGTAGATGTATTAGAGGGGTACCGTACACAGCCCTCAGCCCCAAGCACACCGAACAGCTCCCCAACGAAGTGTACCTCAACTTCTCGTGTAGAAGAGGAACCTTACCTATGGCCAAATGATACGCTGCGACAAGTATTTGCATCTGCAACCTCCGGGAAATATACGCCTACGTCATCTACCGCAAAGCGCAGACGCTCCGAGTCAAGCGATGACATTTCCTCGGACAGCGAATCATCAAATGATCATATGGAGGTCGAGAGGCCCATGAAACCCTTGCGGAAGTCTGGAGGAACATTGATGGCTGCACCAGGTCTGCCTCATGTACTAACTAGCCTTCCTGGCGGCGCGGAAATGACTCGTGGTCAAAAGTGCCCCGTAGTGCAGGGACACGATGCGCATTCCATTATGGATGTCGTCGGGTCAGCTTCCCGCATTGCGCAGCGTTGAACTATGTAGTGATCTACGTTGTACGGCGAATGACCTGCACCACCGGAGGTTAGTCACTTTACCGGCTCGGAGAAGGTTAAGTTCTAGCATAACTTACGAATTGCAGTGCTCCATGACGATCAAAGTCAGATCTATATTTATACAGGCGTTTTGCACGCCTTCTCGGTCGGTAGAATGTAAGAGGTTGGAGAACTGTTTTATGTATGTACCTTGCTGCGGCGGGTTAGCAAGCAAAACATGAAGGATATACATATATTCGCGTACTGGCAACACTCACGCGCATCTTACAGAAATCTCAAGCAAGCAAATTGCCCTGGCATGAACAATGTCAAGATGTAAGGAGTGAACCATTGATTCCTTGCCTTAACCACGTTGTTGTCGCGCATTGTTCCGCCAGCACGACGAGCCCTTGTGGTGAGGACAGACGATGTGTACGTAATAAACCATTTCGGTTGCGGGCCGTTTAATCGTGGTTTAATCGATCTTGAGCGGACCCACAACGGATTGGTTTCTGATACGTGTCTGTGTGCGCGCTGACCGGCCCCCCCAAAACACTTTCCCACAAATGCGAATGCAAAACTTATACACCTTTTCGGCCGCGGGCTATGCCTTTGTTGTATCTTCCGCGAATATTGATCTCCAGTGTGCATTCAGTTCGCCCACAGCTGGAAGAAGTCCTGTCAAGATCTCCGACCAGAATGGGGAGTCGGTACTGGGAAAAATTAGTTCTTGATCTCGTAGCCTTTTCTATGAACACAACTTCCTCAGCCGGAGTGAACAGATCGCCTCGTATTTATACCCATCCATTTTCAACCGAGTCTTAAAACCACCCCTCTCTCCCCAGACCATTCAGTCTTCAGGAAATAATGACACCGCTTTCGTCCGTATCTAACGCTCAGCAGTCCTTTGACAAAGCCAAGAAACACCTATGGTAAGTGGCACATCTAACACCTCCCTCCCTATGTTGGCATTGGATTCTTTTGCCTCTGGATCATCGCTGGAGCCCCCGGCAATGCCCAAAGTGTTTTGATCTATCACATTTTGCCGCCTTTGCTTTGTTCACTTCGCTTACGACTTTCCTACGTATAATTACTGACGCCACATTCTTCACCATATCTTCATTTCACCTTCCTTCAGGGCTTCCGACTCACCGACACACGAAATGAGTGGCCAAAATAGACACTCCGAGCAGCCACGCCACTCACTCCCTGAGGTTGAACGGGGTTCTAGCGACCATGACGAGTGCCAACTGAACTCACATGACGATCCGTCAACTTCTCAGCGACGATCGGAACGAAGAGGGTGTATACTACCTTCGCCTTCACGGTAATTCTTCATCCGATTTACTTGTTCGTCCCCTTAATTGTCATTCTTGTAAGGAGTAACCTGTACACTTTACCACCTCTCTCTCGCGAAGGAACATATGACCGAGATGTTCGTCCGTTACCTTCTCGGTTCACAAAGTTCATGGACCACTCGCCAGCACAAGATGGGCAGCTTAGGTATGCACGTTTAACGCCACTCGGCGAAGTACTAATCGCTTTGAAAAGGCGCACTTCCACAGACTTGGAGACCTACCACCACAGTCGACAACAACGACCCGTCTCCTTGTCAGTTTTCAATGCACCGACGGCGACGTACGCTTGGGAACGCTATGAACCTGAATCTCAGATACCCTATCCACGCCCCCTTTATGTCGATTACATTGGTCGAAGTTCCACGCGGTCGGCATCATCAAGCTCCATCTCCAGCTTACGCGATTCTCCTGGCATGCCGTGCGTTTTTATCAGAAACAGAATGAAACTTGGTATTAAAATGTAGTCGTCTTAGCAGATCTCCGGCGCTATCTGACCGCAGCATCTCCACACCTACTTTACTCCCCCAAAAACGAAGAAGTTCGTCCCCGGCCGGACAGTACGTGGCTTCTAATTACTCATATCTCTTCGGTTAAAGACATATTTCTTTCATTAGTTATCATGCATCTTCTGTCACGAAGATCATGGAACCGCTCAGGTACTTCATTTAGCATTCTTTGCAACATTGCACTTAACGGACTTGCAGACATGTAAACATTGAAGTCGATCATAGCTGGCCACCTGTTTCTTCCAGGCCTTACCAGCGAACATATACTCCTCCTGAAATGATCAGTAGCCCACCATTGCACAGATCTCAATCTGATCGTCATGTTTCGGCAAGACACAGCATTCTGAGCGGCGGTAATGAGCGTCACCGCCAACACGAGGACAGTCCATGCGGTAGTGATTCCAGTGATCAGTCACATATTACCCGCCCAACAATACCGCCCAAATCAGATTCAGAGGAGTGGGAGAAGTACGCTTGTTTTACTCTGGACGGCACGACACGGAAATGGCTGTGCACCTGGTCGACAGAGTCGGGAGGACAGTGCAAATACATGTCCAAGAAGCAATTAGTCAAACGCCACGTTGAAACGACTCATTTGCGTTATAAGTAAGCGACTTTATCATTCACGGGCGTCTTTCACTCATCTCGTTCATTTGCAGGCCATTCGTATGCGGTGTCTGCGGCAAAGGTTTTCCCCAGAAAACTTCTCTTGATACTCACATGCACGGACAGTAAGCAGCACTTTATCGATCCCTAATTCTGAACTCAATCCCCTCATTAGCACTGGATCTACGCCACACGCATGTCGGTATAATTGTGGGATGTGGTTCAAGGATCCAGCACGTAGACACAGACACATGGTCGACGAGCATCAATACGTTCCAAGACAGTCTAAGAAGAAGCACACGAACGGACAACCCCAAGACACTTTGGACTTCGAATCTGTGCAACGATGGAATGTAGCCAGTGCCCCTTAGTGCCTGATCCCTTCGACGAGAAGGTTAATGTGTGTCAGCATTAATGTAAGCCAATGTGACATTGGCTGACAGATATCGCCGTGATGTCGGTTCGATATATCATGTCTACTTATATGCATATCGTGGGTCGTAACATTTCCTTTCTCCACAGAGTGGATGAGATGTGACCCAAGGACTGGGGGTTCCTATGTTTGGAGCAATTATTATTATTATTATAACTGAATTATTCTTGCGAATTATTATTCCCATTATATATAAATATATATATCTGATGCAGCTGCAAACCATCCCTGGAAGCGCTGTCAATATACAATGGAAGTTTTTATAATATTGTGCCTATCGCTTGTTTCTATGTGTTCAAATGAGAAAATCGCTTGATGATCGGGAAGCCATTGGGGAAGGAACGTGGCCCACTTATCTCGATCAACACCTTCCTACTGCGCTCTGCTGTGTTTAGTGACAGGAGTGACTGACAATGAGTTCCAAATTTTGTGACGGTGATAAGCGCTGTCAGGGGACTTTCTGCAGCGCGTTATGAGCGGATTGAAGACTTTCTGAAGGTAAACGCCGCCATAATCACCGCCGAGACACGTAGGCAGAAAGTCAGCCGACATGTGGTGAATTCTTGATCAAAAGAACAACCCCGACGGTCGCGCGGGCGAGCGCTAATCTGTTGAATTACACACTTTCCTTTTTCACTGAAAACTTAAAATAAATGGTGCCGGCATCTTCCGATAGACATCATTGATCGACGTCCCATACAGGGCGATTTGAACCCGTGATTTCGGCTTACCAGCACGTGAACGACATGCCTTCAAAACAACCACCAACGTTAGGTAGTTTAGCTCTTCAGGCGACACCGCACTTGGTTCATGTCTCCCCATCAACATGTCACAACCTCAGCATGTTCAAAGGTGCATTCTAAGTTTCTTGTCGTAATTTGAAATTAATAAGTGGCTCAATTCTCATAGACCTTCTCAAAGAATATCGTAGACTGGATGATACGATTACTATGCGGCTAAATCGCTCAAATGCACAGTTTCGTGATCGTGATCGTGCAGGGACAAGCGGCAAAGGCAATATTCAGGACCAAGCTTGCGCCTACGTATGGAAGGAACTGGTCGGTAAGCCTCTTCGGTGTTTCATCCTGAAAAGGTCTTATATACTTGTCCTGTGCTTAGAAAACTGGAAACGGCGTACAGAAATGATAAATTATTGCGTCGATGTCGTCGATCAGTCCATGGAGGAGAAGCGAAAGTCATTGACAAGCGAAGAGGGCGATGTCAGGGCTCAAAGAAAGACGCAAGCAGCCATGTTTGCGGATGAGGTGAAGGTAAGGAAGGTCTCGGCGTGCAAGTCCTTTTCTCATAAACCCATCCGCAGAGAAATCAAGTTCACAATGAATTAGCCATCGAGAAGATCGTGCGCCAGCGATCACTTGACGGTGAGGATGTTGACTTGTCTCATACGTATTGGTTTTTGACGCTATTATATTTGTCAAATTCAGCGTTTCGATCAAGGTGTCAATATTTTTCGCCTCCTTTAACGGATTCCGAGGCGCGGAAGTGGTGGGATGCTGTTCACATCCAAGAATCGCCGTAGGCGATGCTAGAAGTCTAAGTTACTCAATACTATGAGTTGCTTATATAATCATGGTAATGATGCAATAGCGGAAGCACTTTAGAACAGCTTATATAATTATGGTGATGATGCCACCACAAGTTCCAGCCAACTACCGTTATCTATGCCTTGTACTATGTTATCCTCACTCTTATTGCTCGTATTAGCCGGTATTGCGATGGCCCTAGCACCGCCACTGACGGTGCAGTACCAATTTCCAACAGTAATATCCGATGATGTGAAAGTGCCAGTGGTTCTAGGAGTCATGTCTCGCTGCCCAGATGCAATTCTGTGCGAATCTGTGTTCAATCGCGTATTACAAAGAGTAGGCGACAAAGTAGAAATTTCATTGTCGTTCATCGCAAAGTACGTCCAAGCATCATGCCTTCTTAATACGTAGTTCATCATGTTCGATAGCCCAAACGCCTCGGAGCCCTTTTATGGTGTAACTTGCAAGCATGGGCAAGCGGAGTGTGCCGGAAATGTGCAACAGTTGTGCGCTGCCAAATATCACTCTACTTCTGAATGGTGGTCCTTTGTGCAGTGCCAAAACTTTCAGGGGCGTGATAATATCGGCACGCCAGAAACTGCCCTCAACTGCGCCAACGCAGCGGGAATCAACTGGGAAAACGGCAAGGCTGGTCAATGCGCAGGAAGAGACGGCCGTGGAACAGAAGGAATACAACTTTTGCAACAGAGCACCAGGGATAGCATCGCAGCTGGGATCCAGTACGTCCTTAGGAAGTTTGAGGATCTCATGGGAGCTAAGCCGGCAATAGGAAAAGCTGCACGATCATCATCAATGGCCGACAAGTATGTATACGGGATGGCACTTGGTATGACTGCGAGGTATGCGGTAAAACAACATTGCCGCACAGTATACAAGACCTTACAACGTGTTCTCAGGGCGGTCATTCACCGGCAGATTTCATCAGACAAATCAACGCAGAGTATGACAGACTCAACAGCGCGGACTAAAGAAAGCAGACATGTTAATCTCATGGTCCGCGACGGTGAACGTACATAATACCACTCAGCCACCAAGAATTAGCTCGTACACGATTATGACAAGATTCAGTCCTATGAGTGGTACTTTGTGCAGAAACATTAGTGTGTCAGTTCCGACTGGAGGATTGCGCCACTTACTACGCATGAGGGTCCGCACGGCACTAATGAGGTTGATTAATCGGACTTTGACACCAGCATCTTGCTGCTGGGTATATCCGTATCCTGATTGATCATATGGTGGCTGAAAGCCAGCGGCGTTGGGGTTCTGAACAGAGGACCAGCCGACTGTAAAACGGCGTCAGCGAATGGAGCATTAGTAATGATGGTCCTCACTTTTCGCAAGGAATCGGTCCTCACTGAGGACTGCCATTGCATTAATTAGAAGGAGCGAAACGTAAAGAATTGTTCCGAGTGTGAGCATCGTTCCGCTCGCAGTGATGGGTTGCGGACTGGTTTTGTATTGTGCAAACGTGTCGGCGCAATCATTATGTGACTTTTCGTGACCGTGACAGAGGTAAAGTGCGCGCTGAATTTGTTGGGCCTTGGCTGCTGCCAGAATCTTTGCAGAATGCAATCTGTTGCAAGACAAGTGCGATGCGGTATGTTGTAAATACTTCTGCAGATGCAGCAGCTTTTAAGCTTAAGCATGATATAGCGAATCGTCTAGGTACTCCAGTGCAGTTCCGCATAGCTTCATCCTGCATTCAATGGCAGTGTCAACGGAGGTATGTTGGCCAAATAGAAAGGGCGTTCTACCTCTTATCCTTCACATTCGCAGAGCTGCTAGTTACTATAATCCTTTGCAGTGGATCCAGGAGAAGTTTGCTCCGAAGGCAAGAAAAGCGGATCCAGTGGAAGAGAAGAAAAGAGGTGAGCAGGAGAAACAAGGCCAGCAGAGTGTGTTCGAGGCAGCTGTGAGCCACGAGAAGCAGGCCCGACCTAAGACAACATCTGCCGAAAGCGCTCCTACTGTCATCAAGAAGAAGGCTACTGAAGTATGACCCACTCTCTATGTTACTTACCGCACATCACTGATTGTACGCATCGCACAGCATAAATATTCCACGGCTAACTTCAAAATTTCACATAGGAAGCTCAATATGATTGGCCGACAGATATCTGGAAAGCCAATTGACCATGCTATCGTGCAAATGCAATTTAGTGAAAAGCGGGCCACAAGCCGGATAAAGAGCATGTTGGCGACAGCTAAACTTCATGCGACGGCGTACAAAAATATGGATCCTTCCAAACTCATCGTTTGTAAGTCCCATTGACCATATGTTTCAAAGGGTGGATATTCTAATCCTTGTATAGCGGAAGCCTGGGTGACCAAAGGACCCAAGCAACTAAAACGACTTGAGCCTCGGGGACGTGGCAAGTTCGGTATTAGGGTTCACCCCGATTCACGCATGCATGTGATTCTGAGGGAAGGGAAGACATTCGAGCAATTGAAGAAGGAGCAACGCGAGCGGCGTTTGAGAAGAATAGTCTCTGCAGGGTTGGTTAGGGAGGATGTACCCCTCAGAAACCCCGCTCGGACCTGGCAGTGGTAGCGGTCGTTTCTAGTCTTAATTATACTTTCAGTCGATACAAAATCGTGCTTTATTCAAGTGTGAGCCTGTGAGAGCTCTTCAAATGTTAGCAAGGCTTGCCAGCGCGACGAATCGTGATGAATCCGAAATTCATTTATTTTGAGTTTTCATACCAGCATGTATAGCTAAAAATAGCACAACAGAGTAATGACACGTCGTTGCTCTTTCCTACAACAGACCACGACTCCAAATGGCACGACGCTGGTGGACACTTCCTTTGTTCCTCGTGAGCGCGCTTGCACCTTCATTCTCATTAGCTGGTCCCGCTTTCGAAAACACGGCTATCGTCCGCACCATCGAACTAGGTGGTTCGCTAGTACATGTCAGTACAACTTATGCAGTCAAGGCTCTCGAACCAGGACAAACTACATATCAAATCGCGCTCAGCAAAGCTGAGCGAGCAAAAACAAGTTGGCTCGAGGCTAAAGTCAAGGCCAGACTACACCTCTCAAGCTCAGCGAGGATGAGTCCAGGTGTGTCGGGTTGTGTGTTATTCAGTACGCGATATTCATGTCATGCAGTGCGGAGTATTTGTTATCTATTTCCCTTCCAAAAGCTTTGGCTGTGAATGGCACTCTCAACCTTGTGTTGGAGACTATGCAGACTCATGCTACACGCCCGTTCCCTGAACAGGCCGCTCAGAACGAGCCTCAGCTGCTCAAGTACGAAACTGACCTTTTCACCATCAGTCCTTACACTACCCTCGTACAGCGCACAAAGATAAAGTATGTGCCATAAACTACCTATTGTATGTCTGAAGATTTGATTCTGCTATGACAGGTCCATAGCGCCAAACGTCATTTCCTATACTACCCCACATGACGTGGACAGTTTCGTGAGGGATGGTTCTGTCACCAGATCTGGGGGAACTATTACCTATGGTCCTTATCACGACATTCAAACGGACACAGATTTCGTGGCAAAACATCAACAATCTGTCTCAGTTCATTACAGCTTTGACTATCCTGTTATTGAGGTCGAAACGCTTCACCGCACGGCAGAGATCAGCCACTGGGGTTCCAACTTGAATATTGAGGACAAGGCTCACCTCCATAACGCTGGGCCCACGTAAGTGACGCTTCTCGCATTTCATATACAACGTTCAATTTCAAAATTCAGTCTCAAGGGCCACTTCTCTCGCTTGGAGTACCAAAGCCAAAATTTTCAACGCAAGCAAGCACCGCATATTCTCTCTGACTTCACTTTGCACCTTCCGCCCGGTGTGACCAATGCATACTTCTATGACCAGAATGGGAATGTCTCCACATCTCATCTGCGCACGGCACCGTCAGTTGCAAAGGGCAGCAAGGCAGTGCAGTATAGTGTGCTTCAATTACGGCCACGCTACCCAGTTCTCGGGGGTTGGAACTACTCTTACACTATTGGCTTCGACACGCCTCTGCAAGATTCAGTCAGCTATGACGCAAAGGACGGCGTATACATGGTTGGCGTACCTGTTATGACTCCCATTCCTGGAACTGTTGTTAATGACGCCGAAGTCAAAATTATACTCCCGGAGGGTGCAACGTATGTTGAATGAAATCGTGGTCTTTCGGTATTGACTAATTTGCCCTACAGTAATGTCAAATTCGTCTCCCCTTTCCCCGAAATTTCTAACAGTATGTCAACACACATCAGCTACCTCGATACCGTGGGGCGCCCCGCCGTCACCTTTACATACAAGAACTTGACTTACAAGCACACGGACAATATCTATGTGAGTGCATATCCTACATGTTGGGCTTGAGGGCACCGAATTAATACTTTGTTCAGGTCTCGTATCAGGTTCCCCTCTCGGCTCACTTGAAGAAAGTCCTGTCCGTTAGTGCTGCTTTCTTCAGCCTCTTTGCTTTTGCCTTCATGGCCAGGCGCGTGAATCTGAACTTACATAAGAAGTGATATACAGTAGGCAGGCAGTTGATGCAATGATGAAAAAAGATTCTTGCTTGAAGCATGCATTTGTGATATTATCCATTCGATTCTTTGTGCCTCAAAACAACTCCTTAACTCCTGCATGAGCTGCGAAACCTGATTACGTCGTATCCCTAGGTGACATGAAAATGAGGCTTCGAAGATGAAACTTACAAGAATATTAAATACACGTTATCATAGCTCTCCGTCTGAGTCTTGTCCTGACATGCGTCAAACGATCCCTTGTTCGACTGTTGCCGAAATCATAATATATCCATGGTCCCTCACCGCCCTTACTGCCCTTGTAATCGTTCGCATTCGGACTATTAGGAGAGCCGTTATGAGCGCTATCGAGTTAAGTCACAACTTGGATGTATTCCCGTATTGCCAAAGCTGGTCATGATCAATCAGAGATGTATACAATCGTATCGTGTCTGATTATCGTGCTTGCCAGGTTCTCCTATCCAGTGTATGAGATGAGCGCACGTCCAGTAAGACCATCGGGTTGGGTCTGTAATAAGTCAAATAGCCGGATTGTGCAAATGGGGTCCAATGGTTGGAGGAAACTTCCACGTCTCTGCTGTCGGGATACTTCCATGGAGCAGAGAGAACAACAAGGCCGTGTAGTAAGATCGAGCCGGGTTGCTGTTTCGAACCGAGATGTATGAATTGTACTGGGAGACGAACTGAGACGAGCGGTGCGAGTGCAAGCGATATTGATCGGAACGTTCACCCGGTCGTCCAGATTATGTGCAAGCTACGTGGCCGTTTGATGCGATGACCTTGCGACTTTGTCGTGTTCGATCAGGGGGCCCCAGGCAGTCTCCGAGTTGACCGCTGCACAGGGGCCAAAAATCTCCATTTGGGTCAAACTTTCCCACTGATCATCCTTTGCAAGTCCAACCTCCAAGTTGTCATTGACCGTACTAATCTGGCATGATTTCGAGTCAAAGCAGAAGAACAGCTCGCAATGTCATTCTCAAGTTGAAGCAGAACAACTGGTGGCGATCAATAGCTTCTGGGATAACGATAGACTCCAGTTTAGAGCCAAAGCAGGGTTCTTCTCATCTCGGACGTGCGTCTGAGAGGCATCAAGGACATCCAGAAAAAGCTCGGGCAGGCGGACCGTCGAACTTTCGGTTTCGCGCCCAGCTGGACAAACGTCAAGGAAATGGCGAGGGGGTGCAGAAGAAACGTTTACTCAAACCTTATGACTTGTCAATTCAGCTCAAGAGTTTGTGCAGGGAGGGGGACCTTGACGGTGCTATCGAGCGTTTAAAGTCGACCCCTCGGGATGCGCAGAACATAGCCGTGTGGAATACAATGATCTCAGAGTGCTTGAGCGCTGAACGGTACCAGCTCTCCTACGATTTGTTCGTTGACGTGAGTGGGTCTATCCACCGAATTCGCTACCACTCTTAATAATGGCCATCTGCAATAGATGAAGCGTAGAGGGTTTTCGCCCAACAGTATCACTTTCTCCACTATGCTCAGCGGTATTTCCCTCATCAAGGACTGGCCGAAATACAGCAAACAATTGCAGAACGCGCATTCTCTTTACGAGTCCTACCTCAAACACCTCGAATCCGTCAAATTTCACGAGGCTGACAACTCGAAGGAGTTGTCCTTGCAGCCCCTTGTTTTATACATACAGATTCTCGGCGATGCAGGAGAATACCATAAAATATTCGACGTTTACTTCGCCATGGACCAGGAAGGACCTCTCGCACCTGACAGGTTTGTCTTCACTGCGATGTTCAAGGCAATATCCGCACGTCAGAAGCGTTCGGTCACTGACGGAGAGACTTCTACTCGCAACGATGCTGCATCTGATGCGAAGCACGTTTGGATGCAGATGGAGAAAGTTATGCAGAGGAATCCTGACTTCTTCTTGGATCCTGGGCTCATCGCAACAGCCATCCGCGCTCTTACGCGGGGAAGCCCAAATGATCAAAGTTTTGCATTCACTATCATCCATGATCAATTGGGTCTTTCAAAGCCAGGGGAAGATGTGCCTAAAAGGTTGTCAAACAATCTTAATGCATGGACGTTAGACGCTACCCTCCAACTTTGCAACGCCATGCAAAAGCATAGACTCACCGTTCACTTCACGCGTCAAGTTATGGAAAAAATCAATTGGGATAAAGTGTGGATGCGTTACCTCATCGACTCTAACCACATACACAAACTTCTCAGAGCGTATGCTGGACTTGCCGCTCTCGGATCGCTCAACGAGTCGAGCGAAGCTCTGGGAGCATTGGAATGGAGTGTACAGAATGACATAATTTATCATCTCCCCAAGTTGACGCCAACAGCGCAATCGTACCACCTCGCTCTTATGACATGCTGCCGCAGTGCAGACTGGCCAACTGCCGTCCGCGTGTATGAACTCATGACAGGCGTTGAAGCCAGTCAATTCGAGTCGGGTGGAAGTCATTCTCCGACGGTGAAGAAGAGGTCCAAGGGGAAGAACCTGCCGACGGATGTAGAAACCATATCGTTCCTTCTGCGCACCGCCCTTGCCGCCAACAACGTCACATATATTCAACATGCGATGTGGCTAGCTGACTTTGCGCGCGTTGACGCGCTTCTCAGTGATGAACACACGACCGCGTTCTACCGATCTAAACTTGCGTCTACTTTGATGGAGGCGACAAAACGCCTGCAAGAGGCAGGGGGCCTTACTCAGGAGCAAGAAAAGACATGGAGCTCGTACAGATCATTGGCACGACAGGTCCTGAAGAGCACGAGAGGTAGCCCAACACCTGGAGTCGAGGAGGAAAGGTTAGGCAACATTCGGACACTCGTTAACATGGACAACTATGTAGCCTTCGAGATGGCATCGCGTAGTACCAAATCACGCACATGATGCAGAGCATTTCGTCAGGAGGTATGTTGCGTGACACTGATAAACAGTGACTACATTATATATACAAAATATAACGGGGATGGGGTGATGGATAAAGCAAATATAAATAGCGCCTGAAGAAAAAGGTCCATTGTCCGAGAGGGTACCCACAACATTTGGATAAATACAGGAAGATTGCATGATGAACAGAGCGCAGTCATGATATAGCCGTAGGAGGGGGTATGAGGGCTGTTATCAGTTCACTATGCGACTGAATTTGGGCGGTCTCCAGGTCTTGACTGCCCTTTAAAGGCAGGCGATGGAGGAGCGAAAAGTGTGTCTTCAGTCAATGCCATCGAGACAGGTTGATATGTGTGCGGCTCTTGAGGGTTGGCATAATCGGGATACCTTGTAGCGGTAATGTTCATCGGCATGGGACTCAGTCTTCCGGGTGTCTTGCGCGTTCGCGCACCCCTCCCGCGACGTCTGCACAGTAAGACAAGGGCGACAATGGAAAGTATGACCAAGACGAGGGCATTAAGCGCCATAACAGCTAGCATGGCGGGGAGGTATTTGGAGAGTTTGTCAATAGTGTTTGCTACATCCGTAGACAACGTGACGGTTGTTGATCCGGAATCACCGCTTGAAGCGTTGTAGGTAATGTTATTCTCTGGTGTTCCGCCCCGGACAGAGTGGAACTCCACCGATGCTTGGTCAGGATCGACCAGGGAGAGCATTTGAACATAAGGGCTGCCCATAGTCCCCGATGAAACGAAGTCGCCAAAGTCGTACACAGCATAGACTGAACGCAAAACGTTGTCACCTATCAACCAATCACTAGGGGGATGATCATTTGGTGATACATTCCGGAATGATTATGTACCATAGACTTACAATTGGCCAGCCCCAACAGAAACACTTTGAGGCACGAAAGAGCCGACACAGATTGAAGGATCACTGAAACTCGTTGGTGAAACATCGAGGGGATGTATCGGGAAGATTTGATCGCTGTTATGACAATAACTAAAAGACACGTGATCGAACACAGACACTCACTCGAACTGAAGCGCCATATCTATTTCTACGTCGCAAGGAACTGTCCACTGCCCAAGGCCAGAGTTATACTGAGCTCCAGATACGCCGCCATAAATGGCTTGACACACGTCAGTAGGCGCGTATCTGCACTCCTTGTGAATAAAGTCCGACAATTAACACAAATAATCACACACGTATACGATGTCCCGCTATCCAGAAGAACAACTGCTTTGTTTGATGGTGCTCCCTGCACGCCAGTGGAAACTGAATAGGTCTCTGTGCCAACAATGAAGGAGTCCAATAGCACATTCCAACGCGTTGGAGAGTCTACGGGCCAAGTTGGGATTTTGTTGGTGCTTGTGACATTGGAATATTGGGGCTCGGTCTCGCCTGCATTCTAATACGTCAACGAGTACATATAAGAGCAATACCGTCAACTTACCAATTGCGAAGCTGCCTGTAATTTGGTCGTCATCTGACGCACTCTGCAGGGATAATGCGATAAAGTTGGGTTCGGAAGGATTGTCTTGGAAAAGATTGTAGAGGAGACTGCGGCCGGTCGACGCACCAGTGGCGTTCACGAGAGCATCTATAGTCGATAATGAATCAAAACCTAGCCCTAGAAGTCCAGAAGCCCCATAGGATAATGCCGGATTTTGCGCGGATGAGACGTCAAGAAAAGCTTGTGAAGGAACGGATATCCTATTTGAAGCTGAATTAGTCTATGATACGTCCCTTGAACGCTTACTTACCCTGCAAACTCGGCAGTGACATAGGAAATACCGCCATATGCCCAACCAATGCCATACTTGTGCGCCGAAGTTAAACCGAAGATCCCTATTCAGGCAGAAATGCGCTCACAGTCAGATTACAGTTCTGGGACTAGTGAACATAAGCAAACTATAGTGAGAAATAGCGTGTGCTACTCACTGTAATGTTTGTATTGGGGATGGGTGTTGGACTATTGAGAACCCATAGGTCAGAAGAACCTAACAAAGAGGTAAGATATGAAAAAGGAAAGGGAATAGGAAAAAATACCTGTGTCAAGTTGGACCAGATAATCTGGTTGATCGATGAGTCACCTTACGGTGTGAATGAGGTACGTTATTACTTACCAACACCGCCAAGGGTAACCTGATTACCTGGTGAATAAGTTGGCATGGGAGAGCGAACGAAGCGTACTTACATTTGCCATATATATGAGATCGTGAACGTCGCTATCTCAGTAGTCAGTCAGTTGGTATGTATATGTCGAGCCTGGGAGTGAAGATATGGCTTGCCTGAGCGCAAGTGCTGTGGAGACCGAAGACAGAACTTGCGGGTGCGATATTGAAACGCCTGTGCCTCCACTTCGTCGCTGTAAGGCCGTAGGCTTTGATTGAATGAAAGGTATTTTAACCGCCACTGAAACTCCGGCCAGGACTGCCAGAGAAAAAGCCTGTACCAACTTCATAATGGCAGAAGGGCGAAAGGAATGACTTTGGCGAGAGCCAGTGTGAGTATGCTGAAGGAGTGCGTGCAGCCTTATATAAAGGCAGTCTATGATGATAGTAACAACAAAGCCGTGAACAAGCCGCACGAATCTGAACTGTGATAGATCAACGAGGCAAATGTCAAATTTTGTGGCAGGTATCTATTTTTAGCCAGTCAATCAGATTAATCATGGATCAATGAAACAGCACTACTTATTAGTACTCGCACAAGAAAACCAGGCTCAATTAGTCGTTAACGTTGATCAAGACCTTGCACATTGGCCAGTTTGAAGCAAGTATATTACAAAAGGAACTGTGCATGCGGGCAGGTGTGCGCAGCAGGACAATGAATATAACGTGCTAAAGCCCAATAAGGAAATGATAAGGTGTCCCATTGAATTCTGGCTGCAAATGTACCATGGCGAAGTGATACTTGAGCCTCATAAAGCTTAAGTTGTGCGCATGCAACGTTGCAGTCGTGTAGTATATTGCAAATAGTTATTTTCGTGTTACCCCCACACGTGTAATATTACCTCTCACGTGGTCTTCTTCGCGCCTCCGACGCGGCATCAACTCTTTCTTCTGGACCTCCAAGTTCACACCATGGCACCAGCTGCAACGAGGAGTACAATCTTTCGTCTCATAAATGCATCCCAGCATTCAGCGTGTCCATGCCATGGCTGCAGATCTGCAACTCATAACCATGCACATCACGGTGCTCTTGCCCTCAACCAACTCAGGAAGTTCGCAACTCCCGTCCAAACTGTTGAAAAGGAGTATGCATTCGAGGTACGCCCTGCAAAGTAGCGCTATAACCGCTTACAGTTCCCATGCAGGTTGCAGCATCGAATTTGAGATTTGGAGAGGGCGTCACTCGCGAGGTTGGTATGGACCTCAAGAACATGAAAGCCCGCAAGGTCAGATGGCTTCCCACATCTTCGGTCCATAGTCATCATTACTGTCAATAGGTTGGCGTCTTTACGGACCCAATTGTGGCCAAGCTGAAGCCAATGCGAGTTGTAAGCATTCTTGTCACACAATTTCTCCAGAGTTAATGACTTTGATTTTAGGCCCTTGAGTCTTTGGAATCCCAAGAAGACCTTCCATTTGAGGTATATGACCAAGTGCTTGCAGAACCCACAGAAGAGAGCTGGAGGAAGGCCATCGCTTGGGCGAGACAACATGATTTCAGCCACTTCTTGGCGTAAGTTACGGTCGACCGTGTGTAACCGCGACTCACCATGGTTATAGTGTCGGCGGTGGAAGTGTCATCGATACCGCCAAAACAGCGAACTTGTAAGGCTTATATTTCGTCTGTGTTATGTTTATCTCACATCTTTTAGGTTCACTGTTTACAAGGATGCTGATCTCATGGACTTTGTTAATGCTCCCGTAGGCAAAGGTCTTCCGATCTCGCAAACCTTGCGGCCTCTCATTGCAGGTTGAAATGTCTGCATCAATATTGTGTGGATCTTGCTCATGAACTTGCAGTTCCTACAACTGCTGGCACTGGATCTGAGACCACCGGTGCGGCTATTTTTGATGTCACTTCACGTGCTTTCAAAACTGGCATCGCAAATCGTGCACTTAAGCCTGTCTTGGGCGTCGTGGACACGGCTAACACGGAGAGCTGCCCAACCGCTGTGCACATCAGCGCAGGGTTGGATGTGTTATTTCACAGTTTGGAGAGCTACACAGCCATTCCGTGAGCTTGCACTTGAACTTTTCAATAGGCAAACAGCAGAGCGATCTTTTAGTTACACAGAACGAACGCCACGCCCCGCAAATCCAATTCTACGACCCGCCTACCAAGGAAGCAACCCCGTTGCAGATATTTTCTCGATGTGGGCTCTTCGTACAACTGTAAAGTACTTGCCTCGTATTGCCAAGGATCGCGGTGACCATGAGGCGAGAAGCCAAATGCTGTAGGTTTCCTACCCGTTTCCCACATTACTCCTCTGATTTAGAACTAGTCTCGCGGCTTCCTTTGCTGGTATTGGTTTCGGAAATGCTGGTGTGCACCTGTGCCACGGCATGAGCTACCCAGTACGTACAGCAGATGGTGTCGGGAATCAGGACTGAGTAGCTTTCCTATAGATATCTGGCTTGAACAAGAAAGGCCCGAAGTACAAGCACCCTGGATACGTGGTCGACCATCCCATCATTCCCCACGGGATCAGGTGATTCAAATACTGACACTTCAAAAGACGGAGATTGAACGTGAATCCTGTAGTGTCGCTTTGAGTGGACCCGCGGTCTTCCAATTCACTGCTCCATCTTCTCCTGACCGTCATCGCGAAGCACTTGCTGTTTTCAACGGTGTGACCGTTACCGACCCTTCGATAACAAGCATCCCTGACTCCGAGGTCGGTGCATATCTGTTCGAGTCTATCGCATCCTTCCTCGATGGACTCGGTGTTCCTCGTGGGCTGAAAGCCGTGGGATATAACAAAAGCGACATCTCGATGCTAGTCGAAGGCACGCTTCCGCAACGTCGCGTTTTGGATTTGGCTCCGAACATCGGAAATGTGGCAGGCGAAGATGGGAGAGAGCATCTGACGAGAATCATGGAGGCCTCTTTCGAGTACTAAAGCATGGGATCCGCCGTCACGCTTTCGGATTGCTTTGAAAACGCTTTTGTACATGTATAATACCATCAATTGAAGATACAATATGCTTTCGGAACAGCTCTGCTGGATCGAATCTCAGACGCGTTTTCTGGAGCACTTGTAGTTGCAACATCGACTCTATCTCGGACAAGTCCGAGAATGGCTCCTGAGCAACGACGTAGCACGTTCCGCCCATGCATTGACCTACATGAAGGACAAGTAAAGCAAATCGTCGGGGGCACTCTTTCGGATCGCAATGATGACGGATTGAAGACGAATTTTGTCGCAACGTGCGTATACATACTCTGGCCCTTTCTCTGATTGATGAATGTCCCTGCAGGCAACCTCCAGAGTATTTTGCGGGAAAGTATCGTGACAATGGTCTGGAGGGAGGACATGTCATAAAACTGGGGCCTCGGAATGACGAGGCAGCCAGGAGAGCATTGGCAAAATGGCGGGGTTCGCGTCATCATATTGTTCTCAAACGATGCTTTTGACTGACGTATTCTTAATTCTAGATCATCTACAGATCGGCGGCGGTATCACCTCTGACAATGCCAAAGAATGGCTTGATGCGGGTGCGAGCAAGGTTAGACAAGCGAAATGCGCAAGGCGCCAACTTACTTCTCCCCTAGATCATCGTCACATCCTACCTCTTTCCCCGCGGCAACTTCGACTTGGAGCGTCTGCAGACAATCTCATCTCTTGTTGGAAAGGACAAGCTCGTTGTAGATGTTAGGCACGTCATTTATTTTACGAGCCGAATAGAAGGATCTCATGATAATTTCAGCTGTCGCCGGCGAGGAGACAAGTGGTTTGTTGCTATGAATAAATGGCAGGATATCACTACAATGGAGGTGAACAAAGGTAAAGGACTCTTCATAATCTTTCGCCCAATGCGCGCTGAGTTTTATGTCCAGAGAATCTCGACATGCTGGCACAGTATTGCAAGTGAGACAGACTCATGGGCACTCTGTCTCCGTCGCGATGACCTTTCATGTCGCAGCGAGTTTCTCATCCATGCAGCTGATGTGGAAGGACTATGCCAAGGTATTGACGAGGAGCTCGTTAAAAGTTTGCGCATCCTTCGATATTGTCATTTCACTGCTGACTTTCCATAAGAGCTTGGCGAATGGGTGACGATTCCTACTACATATGCTGGAGGAGCTAAAAGTAGGTGTCAGGTCCCTGAGTATATTGTATCCTGACTCGACGTGTTGTCAAGGCATTTCTGACTTGGAAACGGTGAATAGACTTTCGGGAGGACAAGTGGACTTGACATATGGCAGGTAAGCATGATCCCTTGATGTTTTTAATAGACAGCTCATTCCTGTTACTCTAGTTCACTGGATATCTTTGGAGGGGTTGTGAGCTTTGATGAATTAGTGAAAGCAAGCAACCAGTAGTGTCAGTATGTAGCGCGTATGTTAGATTCCGAAAAACATTATACGTGACTGGGCCATAGGGGAATACCTATTTGGGCGTGGGAAATGTGGCTCATAAACTGTATAGTACCACACCGCGTAGCGCCAGAATTATCGAGGCCGTCGCGGACGTACCGTACGACAGTCCCCTCAAGGTAAATGTCTAGTCATTATGGTGCTCGGCCATGTTCTTGAGGCATCCTGGACTGTTTCCAGGCATATTGGTCTCGTCCCGCTCTTTTCCGCATCTGTTTGGTCGATCTCTTAGACTCGGTGCTAAACATCTTTCATTCCATTGTACAGACATCCCTCAAAATGCCCAGCAGCAAAGTCAAGGCCTACGAGCTCCAGTCCAAGTGAGCTTATAATGCTAATGGAAGACGTGGCGTTGATTGCAGAACGTTTTGTTGCATGATATACACAGGTCGAAGACCGACTTGACCAAGCAACTTAATGAGCTCAAGACCGAGCTTCTTTCGCTGCGCGTACAGAAGATTCTTGGTGGCTCGGCCTCAAAACTCACCAGGATGTACGTTTAAAATTCTTAAATGTCCAGTGCGAAAGGACTAACTTAACTAGCAACATTGTGCGCAAGTCGATTGCACGGGTCTTGACTGTGATAAACCAGAAGCAACGCCAAAACCTCCGGGAATTCTACAAGAACAAGAAATTCCTCCCTCTTGATCTCCGGCCAAAGAAGACACGCGCTATCAGACGGAGACTGACCAAGGTGCGCGCATACAGTCGCTATGAAAGATGTGCTTAACTTATGCTACCTATCTGTACTAGCACGAGGAATCACTGAAGACGCTTAAGCAAAAGAAGAAGGAGACACATTTCCCCATTCGCAAATATGCTGTCAAGGCATAAGCGTGAATGTGTTGTTGGCTGGGTGTGAGAGGGCCCGTCATCATGCTGGAGATTTTTCTGTTTTTGCATTTTTATATTTGTATGCCCTACGCCTTGATCAACTCGACATGCATGTTATGCCATGACTCCTTTCCCTGGAAGTTGATCCAGCATACTTTGAGACAAATGCACCGATTGTGGCTTATGATCAGTACTACCTGGGACATGTGCACGTGAGCGCTCTCGATGAACTTCCACAACATTCCCGGGTCAAACTTGATGATCTTGGTTGGTGTCGCGACATTACGGCCTCGTGTTTGTTGTCACTATGATGGATCTTCCAACTGCTCTCACGAAACTATACCGTATTTGTGACAATACTCCATCACCACTCCATACTCACATCAGGTCGTAGTAGGTGCTGGAGATCCAAAGTTCATTTCAAACCAATCTTAGAATCATAATAAGCAAGGAGCCTTGCAGTTTCCTCGTGCCACTTGCGACAATCAAGTTAGCCTGATATCAAAGTCCTTTCCCGTACTTGGTCAGTCCGTTTCTTCCATATCTACTCTATCCAGTCCTTTCACAGACTTGGCGGGGATCCCCCGAACACGTGTGGAGCAAGTCTTCTTAATTTTGTTCGACATGAGTTGATGTCACACAGCAACCTGTTGCCCCATGTGTTAGGCCCTGTCAGCGCTCTGTCCACACCATGTCGCCTGGTAGTCGCCTCAGAAATCTCTCATTGACTAACATCAGCCATGGACAGCTGGCCTCTCGCTCGTGCTCGATGTCACCACAGACAAGCCAGGATAGGGAGATGTGTCCCAGGGAGCCTTACCCCGTTCCAAGCAACAACCCGGCCTGTCAGTATACGCTCATCGAGAAGCTGGGAACAGGCAGCTTCGGGGTCGTATACAAGGCTATGCACAACGAAACCAAGCAGATAGTTGCTATCAAGCAGATTGGTGTGTAGCTTGCCGGGCTTGATATTGTGTTGGAGCTAATCTCTCTATCTTTGAAATAGATTTGGAAGACTCTGATGACGATATCTCGGAAATTCAGCAAGAAATTGCTAGTCTCGCTCAATGTGATTCGGAATACGTCACCCGCTATTACGGGTCATTCGTTGTTGCTTACAAGCTATGGATCGTCATGGAGTACCTGGCTGGGGGATCATGTCTTGACCTCCTGAAAGGCGGCGTGTTCTCTGAAGCGCACATCGCAGTTGTTTGTCGGGAGCTTCTGCTAGGTCTCGAATATTTGCACGCGGAAGGCACCATCCATCGTGACATCAAAGCTGCCAATGTCTTGCTTTCTGCTAGTGGAAAGGTCAAACTTGCCGACTTCGGAGTGGCGGCACAGCTAACCAGCACGCTGAGACACACATTCGTGGGTACTCCATTTTGGATGGCACCGGAGGTCATCCGACAGGCGGGTTACGACGCAAAGGCGGATATGTGGAGTTTAGGCATCACAGCCATAGAAATGGCGAAAGGAGAGCCGCCACTGGCCGAGTATCACCCCATGCGGGTTCTCTTCCTTATTCCAAAGGCGAAACCACCAGTCCTTGAAGGTTCATTCTCTGCCGCATTCAAAGAATTCGTGTCACTCTGTTTGACGAAAGACCCTGCTGATGTGAGCTCGTATTTGTTTGTCCTGTGCTTGAAATCCCCTGACAGTCACTGTAGCGTCCTACAGCCAAGGAACTTTTGCAACATAGATTTATCAAAAGTGCAAAGAAGACATCGTATCTCACAGAGTTGGTCGAGAGGTACCAGGAGTTCCGTGCCAAGTCGCCACAGAAAGGTCAGCATACAGCATACCAAGCGACTATTCATGGCACGGCAATGTGGGAGAGCAACGACACAATTCGAAGTGACTGGAACTTCGACACCGTCAAGTCGACTTCCATTATGGGTACATTTAGTAGTGTTGCCAAGGATTTGGTGCCTGACATGGACGATGAAGACATGGGTGACGAGGAACGCTCGATATACGAGGATGACGAGGGCTCGATTGAAACAGGAGGAGCTATTAATGGAAGCGCTCCGTCCGGTTCTGGGGGGATCGGAATAAACATTGGTGCAGCGCACTCCACTGTTGCCATCAAGACTCCTCTCGATGAACCAGACATTTCAGTGCTTCTCGCTGCTGAAGAAGGTTCAGAAAGCGAATCTGTAGATGGTGCCGAGCCAAGAACACCGCCATCCCAAGTTACTCACCCTGTAGATGATGAAACGCCTTTGGGCTCACCTCCAGCATACACCGGCTCTATCCGCTCGGCAATGAGGTCTTCGTACGCTGCAAGACACAAGATGACTGGTGCTGGTACTATCATGCGGGAAGCAGATCTAGGTTCCGGCGTAGACACCATCAGACCTGTCAAAAGAGTCGACGCAGCTGGTTCTCTGAGACTATCTGCAGAGTACGTCGGCACTAGGAGTAGAGAAACTTCGCCATCATCCCCTACTACTCCATCCAAAGACCGGCCTTCCTCGTCATTCAAGCGGAGGGTATCTGATGCTGAGCGGGCGGGAAGGGTCATGATTGATGATGTCGTCCTCCCCGTTCTCCAAAACGTGAGTTATTCCCAAGTATACCGCTACAAAAGAATAACAATACACGACAGGCCATCCGAGATGACATGGATGCTCGAGAGATCGAGTCACTCAGTATGATCTCTCGTGGCTTTGCCGAATTGAGAGAGGCGAATCCTGCCCTATCTTACAGCGTCATTCTCGACATGCTCTCCGGTATCAACGAGTGCGTATCCATCAGCTGAACTGAGATTCGGTTCATTTATTTTCAAAATATGCTAGAAACCCCTCTGTCCGACAATACGTTCAAACGTCTCGGGGACTCTTTCCTCACAAACGCGTCATCCGGAAGAGCGAGATGACTGCAAAAGGCCTTGTGGTCACCGAAGTCCAGGAAGATATCAGTGGACTCCCCATGGACTTGAGCGCCTCATCATCAAACTCCCTCAAAGCTGACGGCTCTGGATCACCCGTCCGAAAGTCACCTATCTCTGAGTTGCTCTACATGCGTTGGTTGGAGGGCCTGCGAATCAAGTGGCCCAGCATTTTGTCGTAGTTGAGCTTCAGGACTGTACTACGGACTACGTTTTGACAGAGTCTTATTGTCTTCATTGCATACAGCCCTTACATTGAGCACGCCGCGCGCGCGCTCACGCTGATTGAGTCGACCTCCTTCCATGCTGCTTTCTTGCGTTCGCTCGTTCGCTCATTCTTTCACGCTTTGTTGAACGACCTTCACGATCACCCTTTTCTGTACATGTAATTTAGCAAATTTCGGCTGTACACATGTGGCATCTTCCAAGTATTACCTGTTGTTGTACTACATCATGTGTCTTGATGAAAGTCTTGAACGACTAGATAAAACAACGGTGAAGATTGCGAAGTCGGGGAAGTTACCTACTGTAACGCTATTCTTGCCAAGATGATTTGTTCATAAGACCGCCACGTTAAAACTGCCGATGCAAAGAAGACACAGCGCGCGCCAGGCGGTAACACGCTCAGTCGAAAACAAGATCCCATATGATTGTGTGAATAGTCCATGTTCGCCAAAAATAATAAAATGTAATATAATGTAACCAAATTGTGCACGGTTGTACAATGTAGATAGTCATGTGCGAAGTCCATGAATGTCTCTTGCAAAAATCCGGTACACTTATGCCATGATAATTCCAACTGCAGCTGCAATAATGACTGCGATGACGCCAGAAAGTGCAAGGGACGCAGCGCTGAAGTGAGTCGCCCCGCTCTTCTGGTTGCCAAGAGGCTTATTGGAAGAGCCAGGTTTTCCAGATGACAGCGAGGACGAAGCCGGCCTGTCACATAATCAGTTGCGTCGACACTGAAGAATAATTAGCTTACTTTTTCGTAGTGGTTGCCGTCGGTTTTGCACTGGTAGTGCTGGCGCGGGCCGGGGGCTTGACGGCCAAGTCACCTACTTTTGCTGGGATGACTTGTGACGTTGAGTTCCAGGCGTTCTGGTAGACTGAACCAGCATCTAACTGAGCAAGAGATGTCCTCGTCCAGCCGTTTGAAACCATCATCGGGTATGCATCTATGAATGACTTGACGGATAGATCAGACAACTCGTGTTCCAAAATGACAAGTCCGGGGGTCTTTGGACCTACATGGCACAATCAGTATCAGACACCCCAGACGATGACAACAACATACCGGTCAACCACTGTGTCATCTGCTGTTGGATTTTCTCTGGCGTGGTCAATGGGACAGGCTCGCTCAAGGTCCAGTCATCAGTGCTAGATTGAAGTTGGTATCGGTAAAAATGAACTCATTTTCGGTAAAATCACATACTCTTGATTCCAGATGACGGTCGTGAGCCCGAACACCTCCTTTGCAACAGCCCGTATGCGCATATCGGAGTCACCGTAAGGCGGCCTCCAGTACTTAGGGACACGCCCGCCCGTCGAGTTGTGGATAAGCTCTATCGTCCATCCGATCTCAGCGACCACCTCGAGATTCGACTTGGTGGTCATGTATGGGTGAGTCCAAGTGTGAACGGCGATATCATCCTGGTTCGTCTCGAATGCAGTTTTGAACTGGTCGGGATACAGGAGAATGTTGGTGCCAATGAAGAAGTGCGTCACATGTTCCGAGTGACTAGCGAGGAACTGATACAGTTGATCTGATGCCTGAACAATGCGCGAAGTATCAGCTATCGTTTGAGTAACGCATCCAATAAATAGGTACGTACCGGTAGCGGGCCATCGTCAAAACTAAGGGCGATAACACCTGGCGGAGCGTCCCACACGTCACCTGGCGTAACACACTTGGCAGTCGAGGAGCAAACAATAGCGCTCGATGGGTCGTATCCAGAGGGGTATACGGGATCCAGTCCGTTGGTACTTGTAGACTGGGGAATATCGGGAATCTTGCCCGCCGCAGCGGCTGCGTTAAGAGCATCCACCCAAGCCTTGGGGAGCGTCGTAGTATCCGCAATAGCTGGGGGGAAGCCAGCGGACCACTCTGAACATACGTGTTGAGTAAGCGGGAGTGAAGAAAATTAAATACAAAGGCTTACCTGGCGTTCCTATTGCGGGATAAATAATACCATCGCCGACTGGTCCACGCTTGAAGAGGGCGTGTACTGGATGATCGTCTTCATGATACCACCTGTTGCTAGGGAGCTTGTTCTCGGTATGAGATTCATGAGCGGGGGTGACGGATGCGTAGACGGCAGTGGTGGCGAGGAGGAGGATAGTAGAGAGACGTGACATGGCGATGTAGAACAAAAAGAGAGTAATGGTATAGTAGTGGGTATGAATGAAACGGCGAGGTGATGGAAAGAAGAAGAAAGAGAGGATGAGGAAGACAAACCAAGCTGCCCATTTTATGCGGCAGGTGAAGGAATTCTGCTGGTTAGCCACTCAACAACGAATACTAACTTCCTTTTTTGGCATTTGATCTTTGCGCACGACGCTGGTCATGACGGTGTTGGCCCAGAGTTGCTCGACAGTAGTGGACGTCTCGCGTGACCTTTGACAACAGGCGAGCAAGGCAGTATCATTGTCCAGTAGAAAGTAAATTAACTCATCTCGAACGTTGTGATCTGCTCAGTATGCCTGCGGAGATGCCGACGAGTCTCAGCTAGTTATCACCCGATTGTCGAATTAATGTTGCGATATGATTGGTCCCCACCAAGTCACAAATTAAATATGTACCTACTTGCCTACGGAGGACCATGAGAATCGCTATACACTAGAAGATGTCGACCAACCTCGACCATAAATGTGATGCAGTTTTTCTTCCAGTTGGGTTATCCCCAAGGCTATCCGACTAAACCAGTTGTATAGAACCTCATAGGACCTAGATCAATCCAGAGCACGACGGCGTCGTTCACAGAAATCTAAAGTACAATCCCTCAAGTCACAGTGAGTCAAGATGTCGGCGAGGCAGCTGCAGAAGCCTCGCTATTCCTCAAGATTAGGATACCCCCCCTCAACTGAGCGACCTCCTTCACCATCGCTGTAAACTTCGCCTTCTTCGCATCTGTAGTCAAGTAAGGCGTGAAATGCTGGATACAGTCCCGCGTTGTCGCGTTGGGCGTATTCTGTAACCACTTGACGAGCATCTTCTCCTCCAATTCGCCTTCCGGTGGTGGGCCAGTGGGAAGCGGCTTTCGTTTCTTCGGCTTCGGTGCACCATTCACTACAGCGCCCGCCGAGGGTGCATTACCGCTGAGGTCATCAGTAGCCTTGCGTTTGTTCGACGCTGGCTGTCCATTTGGCGTCGGGCTCCCTGGACCCTTAGCTAGAGGTGAAGGACTAGTTGCTCTGCTACCAGTGACAGGGCTGGTTGCCCTACTTCCAGTACCCTGACCACTAGTTACGCGACTGTTGTTCGTAGAAGTTGTCTTAACTTTCGGTGCTTTGGGACTTGTGGCGCGTTTTGCAACAACAGAATGACCACCCATACTCGCAGGCGCCGGTGAAGTAGCGCGAGAGCCAACAGCAGAACCGTTTTGAGCAGTGCTGGTAGGCGGCTGCGATGGTTTCGAAGTTGGTTGTTGGGAAGCTGATCGAGATGTAGTCTCTTGAGGTGGCTCTTGAGGAGGAATTGGTTCTTCTTCCTCTTCCTCGTCATTCTGCCGCAGTATTAGCACACATACACGGAAGTAAGGAAAAGGACACACTGAGCTCGCATACGGATTACGCTCTTCATCGCTATCGTATGCTGCGTTCTTCTCCAGCTTGCGCATGAGTTTCTTCAAAGATTTGCCATCTTTCGTCAGCTGGCTCTCCCCATCCTCAGACTCCGACTCATCGACATAGCCTTCGCGGGTCTTGTTGGCACTTTTATACTCTCGTTTGAGGCGTTCCTGTTGTGTGAATGTCAGCGCTACAATGAGAATATCGAAGGGTTGACATACCTCTAACTCTTTGGCCTCCTCTTCGTCCATATCGGCAGGACCTGCTTCATCATCATCCGCAAACTCATCATCAAAAAGCTGTTCATCCAAGTCTCCTTCCATGTCATTCTCCTCCTTCTTTCTTCTAGGACCACCTTCGTCGTCGTCATCGCCACCACCCTGAGCCCCGCGGTTCGTTGTCCGCAGTGCCCGTCCACCCATAGCTCGACTTTGTCCAGATGAGTAGACCAAAGACGAGCTGCCAGATATGACACGGTTTTCTGCCTCCGCTTTGAACATTTCTGATGTTGCTGACGAGGCTGCTTGCCCTTTTCTCCGGTGCAGCAGCCAACGTTCCGGGTCCTTGTTCTTCTGAATCTTGGCCATCTGAGAGGAAGCGTCAGATTACAGCGATGCATATGCAGTAAACAAAATACCAGAGCCTCCGCCTCCTCTAATCCAGGGACATGATGTTTAGGCTTCTTCTGGAACTTGTACCAGCGGTGGGCAGGTACGAATTTGAAGAATTCTTGTGCAGCTGGCATAAAGAGAGCGTGTGTCTCGGCCCTCGCTACCTCCTCCAGTTTCCCTACCCACATCTCGTTCTGCTTTGCGTCCTCCATCACCCAGGGGTAACGCTCCTCGCGTCGCAGCTGACGGGTTGCCTCGGGCACTAAGAACACTTGCCGTGTCTTCTTCTGAAATTTCTTCCGCCCACCAGCTTTGCCTTTGTCCTTGACATTCGACTGAGTCTCACCATTGTCCTTTGCTATCGGCCGACCATCCGCATCAACCATGACAATGTTCCCATCCGAACCAATAACAGGCTTTCCGTCAGGCCCCAGCATATGTCCCGTAGGCACTTGAGATGGACCGGCCTCCTCCCTTCTCAACTCCTTCCTGTTCAACTTTATCGGCTCCTCCCAAGTTGATATGTCTACAGTCTTTCTCGAATCAAACTTCATAACATCATACTTCCATCCATTGAGAGCAGAGGACATAAGCTTGAATTCGGAAAACTCGCCATCAGGGAGCTTAGAACTGTCATCTGCATCACCGGCAGGTGGGATAGGCTGTACGCGGGGAGTAACGGATTTGCGGGGAGATTGCTGTGACTGAGATTGCTGTGATTGGGATGGTTGAGAGCCTTGTGAAGTCGTCGACGGTGTAGAGGGCTCCTTCTTTATTGCCTTCTTCTTGTGAAATAGAAGAGATTCAGCCGATTTTTGGGGCATTGAAAAGACGGCTTGAAGACGAGTCTTGATGATGGTATCAGTTGATCAGCGCAGCAGACGACTGGTACAGCCACGAGTTAACGAGCGGAAAGGACAGAATCACCAGAGAGCATGTATACAGTTTCGTTTTCACAAGCGAACAGCAATAACCAGTGTTGGAGAACAAGGCTCACATGCTGACATAAGGCATGGTTCGCAGCGCTAACGTCTTTCTCCTATACCTGATCCATGCAGATGATGATATGAAGGATGCTTGATAGTCATCATAACAATTGCGAGGAGAGGATAACCTAAGGAGAAGACTATGTACACTTCATGTGACCGTGAAAACTTGTCCATAAAAATGAGAACAACCATGCTAATCACAAGCTCGTAACTTAAAGAAATCGTAGGATTCAGCAGAGGGAAAGAGGCCAGGGGAGGCCAGGATAGGTCTACCAACTACATCGGCTGTACCTCTGATTTGTTCGTTGGTATGCTCGCCATACCATTGGTAGTTGGCGCTGGTGGTGCTCCTGCTGGAGCTGAAGAAAGGGTGGTGGGTGCTGTCGGATATGGATTCTCCGACGATGGTGGCCGTGGCTGAGGCGGATGGGGCGGTTGCTGATGCGTGTGCGGTGGAGGATGAGAGATCGCTCCTGGAGGTGGTGGATATGGTCCTGGAACTGATGTGCCCTGTCCATACACCATAGCGTGGGGGGGTGGTGCTCCTGGACCAAAAGATGGTATGCCTTGTCTCATGCTTTCCAGCTCGTGTCTCAGCATCTCGATCTCACGAACCATGTCTTGGTGACTTTGTTTCAAATTGGTAACAAAGTCGATAGCTGCATACGTTATGTCAAGGATTGCCGCGCTTGTGTAGAGACCCGGTCTGCATACCTTTGCTAAGTATTTCCCATTTACTCGCCTTCATGCCCCGATCTGCGGGTAGCTGGTCCCGCAGCTCATCAAATAGGTCTTTCATTTCTTTCCGTCGCTTTCGCTCGGCAAGCTTATGAGAAACTCGCAGCTCGGGTGAACGAGAGTAAGGTGTAGATCCCGGCTCCTTCGGCGGTTTCAGGCTAGATGACGGAGAAGGAGCCGAACAAGGCTCCTCCGCAGGTGGCGCAGGCCCTACAGCAGGAGTGACAGTCTGGCTATTTTCGCGTAATTGACGCGATGGAGGTCGGGACCGCGAAGCGAATATTTCTTGTCGGTCCTATTGTAGAAGTCGAGCCTTCTGGCACTGACATCCGCCTGTCTGGCGGGAATGTCATCGGGGGCATCATGGTCATCTGCATAGGTTGTGTTTCGAAAGAACGGGGGTGGTGCTGTATATTAGGATCTTGCGAACCGTCCGGGTGTTGTGCTGCAGACCACGCGAAAGTCGCCATGCTGCCTGGCGTCGAGGGTGCAGCAGGTCGACCATGTGGCTGATCGCCGGATAATGCCGAGGGGTAGCCACTAGTGGTCCCGTTTGGGAACGACGGTGGTAAGGAATCCCGTCTCTCATTCAACCACCAGTGCCCATTTCCTCCTGATACTCCTGTGCCCGCTCTTGACGCTATCGCTCCAGAATGCACTGAATGTCGCCTCTGGTCATATATGCTCAGCTGGGCTATCCTGCTCATTTCAATGGTCGATCCTCGCCGTTTTTGTGCGCGTCCTTCTGAATCGATGTTCATGGGACTAGGTACCCCAGGTCCTACCAGTTGCGAATCTGTGTCGTCACTTGTATCGGCTTCTCTGTAAGTAGACGTCTTTCGTTTCGTTCCATGTGGCATTTGGGAATCCGAAGAATTCTGTAGATCTGTCAACATCTGGCTTTCGAATGTGACGTCGATGACTTACAGCAATCGATTGTCTTCGTGAACTGTGATCACTGTCGTCTGCTTGTCGTGTATTAACTCTGGGCGATTGTTTCTCATTACTGCTGTCCACGTTCATGTGATCGGTGGTTTCTGACAACGTTACCACCTCTATGTTCACAAGATGCGTACAACAAATGATACTTCAAACTCACTAGTTCCCCCGTTCGGAGGAAGTGATGTCTGTAGAGGTGCAATACCCTTTGCAGGCTCCCATTCTGTAGATGGAGAACGCAATATCTTGCGCATTTGTTTACTTGAAGACTCGGAATTGTGCATTGAGCCTCCGCCATCACCGAAAGTGTAGTTAGCAGCTGGACGTGGTCCTGAGAGGACGCCAGGGCATTAGCGACGAACATGGATGATAGCACGGGAAGCAGAATCAATACCATCTATATGACGGGAAGCTGCAGACGAGTTTGCCGAGGCAGCGTGTAGAGATGGATCTGTGATAGAGCCCCTACGATGCTGTTGTAAATAATCGAGAGGGGGAAGAGAAATGAGTGGGGAATGTCTGGATACATCTTTCAGTGCAGGGGTGCCGTCGGTGTTATCCTTTGGTTGAGAAAAGAGATTGACGTGCTTGATCGTAGCAGTCGTTGTAGATGCAGGCATTATGCCTGTGTAAATAGGATGTTGAAGAGTAGTTAAGAGACGGCCTAAGGATGGTCGATGTGAATGACTTTGTGAATGTCGACGTTATAGAACTAAAACTCAGTTACCAGATACGGCGTACAGCAACGTGGGTTACGAGCACGTGGCAACGCACACCTCCAAAAAGGCTAAATTAACGAGTGAGTTTGCCAAGATTTATTCCTTTTTCAGCTTTTATGAAACCTTTCTCTGCTCATTCAGTTGGCAAGGAGGGAAAGTTTACAACACCGGTAAAATGCCTGGGTATACCATCACACATCGCAGGCTATCGCAGGGCTACAACACAGCAACTCTCGTAAACTATCCACCATTTCCATCAATCCTCCTCGAGCCCCTGGATTCTAGTACAAACCAGCGCCTGATGTTGATCCTCTCTTAAATCAATAGTCCGTATATGTCTCGCCTTCATACTATTCCTTGTTAATCTCCCAGACTTCACCTTCTCCATCTCATCCCACGCTAATCGCTCAAGAATATCATCCACATTAACCATGAATCTCACCCACGGTATGTAATCAAGGTACACGCTGCTCTGGGGCATGAGAGGTGCGGGTGGTTGAACGATATCCTGCAATGCGGTTAGCATCTGTGCTTGATGCTCCACGCGAGCTCGGAAGAGCCTTGTTTCCATGTCAGTATTAGAACCACTAGCCGCGGGGTTGATCGACGTTGTGATCGGAATAGCACCCAAAACCTCGTGTTTACCACGTGAAAGGTGGATGGCGTCCTGCACAATGAGCTCATCATTGTGATAGAAGGCAAGTCCATCTCTCGTGTCAGAGACGTGGGACGGCCGGATTAGTATGGCGTGTCCCAATTCATCGTCAAGTAAAGATTCAGATAGGTTGTATGACAGGGCCTCGAGTGGTGAACTGTTAGAAAAGCGGCGGGAAAAATGTGCTTTGTTGCCCTCACCTCACGTCCATCTAATGGTGCCCTGCAGAGATAGCTGTCGGTATAGGAAACACAATCCGTGTAAGTGGAAACCCATCGCCACAGCTCTTCCGTCGATGTCTCAGAAACATCAGCACTGCTTTGGGCGGAAATTGTCATAGGGAGTGACGGAATGTTTTCAGCGGCCCCCTGTGCTTCTTGAGGGACCTTAGCTTCGTGGGTGGCGTCAGTACAAATCAATTGCAACTGGGTAATAGATCGCCTGAGATCCGGTGGTGGTAGTGGTTCGGTTCTGGGGTTGAGCGGCGCGTCTGGAAGATCCATACTCTGCACGATGTACGTGGTTTCGTAAAGCTGGATTAACTTATCTCTTGGGATAGCGTATCCCTGTGTTGCACACAGGCATTGCAAAAACGTGACAGCGGGCTCGGAAGGGCAAGGTTGGAACGTCAGAACGGATTGCAAAGGAAGATCCGCGACGGGGACAAGTTTAATGTCTGTCAAGGCGAGTTTGAGTTCTGGAAAAGTCGACATGATTAGAGCACAAGTACCATTGCATGTCATGATCACGGGCCGGCGGCACTCCTTGATCAAGTCTACCACTGCCGGCCAAAAGCCAGCGTCTTCCTTGAATAATATATCGACTTCTTCAAGGAGAATGAGTGATTGCCGAGCCGTGGCAGACGGTTTCGCCGGTCCATTTGTTTTTAATGAGCCAACTCGTTCATCAACGGTTACAGGTGGTTCCACCGTGTCCTGCAGGGACTCACTGGCAGCATCCACGAGGACATGTGTGTCAACATCACTAGGATGCTCGGCATCTGAGTCTGTTGGCGAGGGTTTGGGGTTGGCTTTTCCTGTTTTAGGGAAAAACGTCGAAAGAGCAGCGCTCGCTCTTGTATCACACTGTGCAGCTGCCGTCCGGTATTTTGGCCTCGTCTGTTGGATGAGGTGATTTTTACCCACGTCTCCAACGAGGTTATCGAGGTTTGCGCCGCTGCGTCTTCCAATTCCAGGATAGACCTCGAAAACTTCCCACCCCAGCTCGTCTGCACACGCATAAACTGCTGCGCTCTTCCCACACCCTGGAGGCCCAGTTATAATAAGTGTGTTTGTTAGAGTATCGGTAAAATTAGCGTCGGAGGATTGGTAATTTGGAATGGTCGGGATATTGTCGATACCAATATCTGAAGTCGGTGGACATTGCTCTAATAGCCGAGAATTGTCCTTTCGCTGGAGGCGGGAAAGCGTTCGCTGGCAAAAATTAAAATCATTGGCATCAGTTTCTTCCTCTGGCGCATCCAAAATCGTATCGTCTTCGTCCTCGCTGCAAGCAATAAAAGCATCCTAACTCGTCCTCGGAATCCAGCCTCCGTCGTTTCCTGCCTCTCTTTTTAGCCACAGCTCGAATGACACGAGGTCGCTTGGGCGCCCTGTCAGGGGGGTCAGGCTTGACCTTCCGCCTGCCTGTGACAGTTGCACTACTTTTCGCAGGAGGGGAGTTTGTAGCATGCAGCCGAATTTCGAGAGCTTTGAGCCAATCTCGAATATACAACGCACGCGATTCATTCCCTAGCACTTCATCCGCTTTCCTGGGGCGGAAGCGAGTGGTCCATAATTCTTGCTGAGGCGGCCCAGAAGCTGTCCGATTGGCACTAATCCTCGCCATCCAAAAATCTAGATATTGCGGGATAATGTGCGGCATCACGGGGCCCGTCAGTACCAATATAGTCTTCACGTTCAGACTGCGAGGAGGTTCGGAGAAAAATCGACTGTTGAAGAGGATCTTGGTATCCCTGCGATAAAGAAGAAAGGAAACCTAAAGACACGTCGTCTGTGGTATCTGGCGGACTGCGTTTGTGACGTTTCGGCGGTTCCGAACTCGGACTAAAGGTATTTTGCGGTCCACGAACATGTTGCGTCTCCTTATTTGGATATGGCGCATCCGGTGTCATATCACCTAGGAGCACCTGTCGCTTTACCGGAGGATGGACATCCCCTGGAACAGTATATACGGCTTGTTGGTGCAGTAGCTTGTACCAGGGATATGTTGTACCTGTTATTTGGCATGTCTATGTCCTCGATACATGATAAAACGGTGATTGATGGTGATTGGTGAAGGGAATTCATTTCTGGAGGTGACGAAGAAGATTGATGAGATGACGGTGGATGTTCATCCTCAGATAGTTCGATAAAAACATCTCCACCGGTGTCTCTACTCGCAGTTGTATAATTTGAGTGAGCAGACTGCATGGGGGTTATGGATGGGGTCCCGAAAATAGGAAACAATTTTACCGCTTGGACTGTGAAACTGAGATGATAAAGAAGAGTGCTCATATCAAGTAGTACTCACTGTGATTTTGACGGACAGAATCCCGTATAGCTCTGCGGAGTGCCTTAGGACGTGGTGGGGTTGGTTCGTCATCAATGACTATGATGTCTACTGGATGTATAGAAGATGACGCATTGGCTCCATCCAGTTCCTTCGAATCTTCTTCCGAATGTTTCGTTTGCTCATCCTTCTGGAACAAGTCGTGCAGAGTCTTCTGAGCGGATGCCTGCGTGCCTTCAACGTCAGGAACGGGTCACATGAATGCCACACGTACCTGCTTTGCACGCGTGCTTCGTGTAACTCTGCTTTGGCGTTTCTCAGTCATCTCATGTGAAGATCAGGGAGTTGAAGGCGTGCAAAGAGCGTGCAGGGTTTGAATTTGAGGACCGGAAATGATCGAAAGTTCGGAAACGCGTCTGACCACGAAGATCGCGTTGCATGTGACCTCGAATACTATGAAATTACCTTTTCGAGTAACACTCAATCTTGCAATTGCGGACTTTCACGCGATCGAGCCACACTACTGGCACAGACTTTGAGCAGAGCCTCACAGATGGCCCTGGAGTTGGATCAAGCAGCATCGCCGAGCCTAACCCACGATATCGTAAGGTGGATATCACAAGAGTATCATGGTAACGGAATTCATTCTTAGGCTGATCTTATTGATTCTTTTGCTAAAATTTACTTAGATATGAATGGCTCATCAATTCAAACACTCGAAAGCCCTCCCACAGCAGCGGAGTTTGCACAGCTAGTCCACATATCTAGGCCTGTTGTCATCAAAGGTCCCCTCATGTCAATAGACAGCTTAGAACAGCCCGTGATATGAAGTTCAGGTTTCCAAATCCCAGCCTTGAAACGATGGACCGATGATTATTTGCAGACCAAGCTGCAAGACCAACTTATATCAGTGGCAATCACACCCAACGGGCGAGTGTTTATTTCTTTGAGCGCTTCTGTGACTGAGGGCAGGGCAGGCAAGCAGACGCTATTGCAGCTGGCCCAGGGGGAAGGCTCTTTTTCGTGGAGCCTTTTATCGAGAAAGTTTCCATGGGGAAACTCCTCGAACAACTTAACGCAGGCACTTGCACACGTTTACCTCCTAAAAATTGAACACGAGCTAATCCACATTTCAAGCAGAACGAAACAGTGATAACCTCTCTGCTTCCTATCTCCAATCGCAAAATGGGAATATGTATTCCAGCAGTTTCTTTGAGTCACCGAACGACAATTCATCAGAATTTGGTGCCCTTAGGGGAGATGTTCCAAGTAACATCCCGTGGGTCACCGAAGCACTAGGTTGGGAACTCAACTAAGCCGAGTCCTTTCACTTATAATATGAACACAGGCAGAAATCCTGACGCCGTAAACCTTTGGATCGGGAACAGTAAAAGCATAACCAGTATACATAGCGGTAAGTAATAACTAGGCCTTTGAATGGCGCGCACTAGACCCGTCCGCATCTCACATGGTGACAAGATCCGTACGAGAATATATACACTGTGATACGCGGAAGTAAACACTTCACACTTCTACCACCTTGTGAAGGGTGGTGTCTTCAAGGTAACACGACTTGTCAATGCTATGCGAATCACAGTTATAGTTTGCCTCAGAACGGATGTATCCTCACGCAGTCTACGGTCATACCGACAATAGTAACTGTCTGAGTGTCATCCCCTCTTCGGATACTCCTCAAGTTCGCTGGTCTTCGGTGATCAACCCGGACCTTCCTGGATCACTGCCTTCAGAAGCTCATCCACTGCATGTCACACTCGAAGCAGGAGATACGTTGTACCTACCAGTTGGTTGGTGGCACTATGTACAGCAATCTGGCCCAACTACCATTGCTCTTAATTGGTGGTATGACGCCGAAGTACGAGGGATGAATTGGATTTGGCTTAGCTTACTCAGGGGCAGTGGTGATGTGCCATCAGGAAATGATGAAACTGATACTCGGTGATTGGTGATGGACCTAGTAGTAGTAGCACATGCACACATAATTGTCAGTGCAAGTCGGGAGGAAACGATTCGCTTAAGGGTACCATCTCAAAGTACATGTTGAATTATGAAGCGTGACAGCTTGACCTTGTGACGAATGATTATTGGTCAAGTCACGAACTTTCTTGTCTTCAGCATCCCCTTGCTACGGCATCAGCTCTCGCAACATGCCCAAGGACAAATCAGAGAAGCGAGAGAAAAAGGAGAAGAAGCCAAAAGTTGATGATGCAGAGGCAGATGCAGATGCAGAAGATGTAGAAATGGCCGATGTTTCGGAGGTGAGTGCCTCGCATGTTTCCAAGTGTCCTCATGTGCATATCATATTAGTCCCCGAAAAAAGCGAAGAAGGAGAAAGAAATCACCATTCCATTGGAAGATTTATCTCCTCTTGCGCAGCCGTTGGCACAGAAAAAGCTTGTGAAAAAGCTGCACAAAACGATCAAAAAAGGTTCGCCTACTTATTTTTGCTTTCTGGTTCATCTGCTCATTATTTTTCAGCTTCGAAAGCACGGCAAGTTAAAAGAGGTGTAAAGGAAGTCGTTAAGGGCATTCGCAAAGGAGAAAAGGGGTACGTGCTCTTTCGTCGTCAATCGATCAAATCAATTAATTGATATCTTGTTAGATTGCTTGTGTTGGCGGCAGATATCAACCCTATAGATATAATATCTCACCTCCCAGTACTCTCAGAAGAAGCACAGATACCATATGTCTTTGTGACGTCTAAGGAGGAGCTCGGCCATGCTAGCTCAACAAAACGACCAACAAGTTGTGTTATGATTTGCCCTGACCAGAAGCGCAAAGCCCAAAAGAAAGATGCCGAGGCAGAGAAGGACGATGACTACAGGGAGTTGTATGAAGAATGTCGAAAAGAGGTGGCAAAGCTAGACCACAAGATTGTATTCTAACTTTGACTGTGTTAGCAATCGTGTATTTTATACCTCTTTAATTATCTTGGATTCATGCATGAGAAGAGTACGCACCGTCCGACGCATTAGGTGTCAACGTGTCTCCGGAAACCGGAGTTCGAGGCGGCAATTTGACTACATAAAATAAAAACGCTCGCTCAAGTTAACTGTTCACACACACACGACTAAGTGCAACTTGCTCTACCCACTTGGCTTGGTCTTTCCGTTCTTACGATCTCTTCCTGCTATAATGCCCGCTCAAAAATCTAAATCGTTGGCCAGCAACGGTGCTGCTAAAATTCACAGTGCCAAAGTGACACCTGACTCCACGGTTCCCTCGTCACCCGCTTTTTCTAAAACCGACCTTAGTGGGCCTATGGTCACAGGCTCCGGAAAGCCAGACAAGGCTGCATTTGATGCAGAGCAAGAGAGAATCAGAACTGAAATCGATGGCTTGCAGACTAAACTTGTGCGCGCTTTACTCGATTCCCTACTCGGTGCGAGACTCATGATCACAACTCTACGCTTAGGCTGCCGTCCGGGCAAAAATATCTTCGACAAACAAGTCTGATACTGGAAACGACAAACGGGCAGCTCTTAAGGCTGAACTGGATAGCATACGCGGTCAACAGTCATCCAATAAGTTAAACCGAGGCAAGACACACGAGCAGCTCAAAACGATTCAAGATGGTATTCAGAAAAAGGTTCGGCTGGTATCGACCCGCATTCACTATTTCCTGACGAAACGTGTCATGCAGATAAAGGACCTGCAAGCTGCTCGTGGCAAAACACCATTCAAAACTACAGCAGATGTCGACGCCCATATCAGGTATGCCTACTCCCTTGACAGCACACTGCCTTCTACTGATGCTTCTTGTTTCTCAGCCACCTGGAAACGCAAGTGGAGTCTGGTAGTATGAAAGTTGTGGATGAAAAGCGTGCCCTTCAGGAGATCAGCCAGACTCGTCGGACGCGTAGAATGGTCGAAAAATTCCAGGCAGACCAAGAGTCGATTGAAGCTGACCGCCAAGAAGCCGACCGACTGAAGAAGCTGCTTGATGACCCGGAGTCCAAGGAAATATCTGAGCGTTATGATACCATCAAGGCTGAACTGGACGAACTCAAAAAGGAATCTGACGAGGCGTATGCAGGCCGAAACAAGCTTTTTGAAGAACGAGACAGTATTCAAGCACAACTAAACGCTCTCTTCAATGAGAAGCGTGAGGCAGCATATCATTTCCGGGAGGCGAATGACCGGTATTGGACCAAGGTGAACGAGGACCGCGCTCGACGTCTTGAGAAAGCTCGTGCTCAACGTGATGCAGAAGAAGCACAGAGGAAATTGGCAATCGCCGACGGTCTGCGTGAAGAAGCATCAATGCCTGCATTCCAAACGCAGATTGAAGACTGCCAGACTCTCATTGACTTTTTCTCTGGGAAGTCCTCTGGCAGTGTAGTGTCGTCATCCTCATCTGTGCCAGTCAAATCCGATGTTTCCGGTGTTCCGCAGTTGGAGATTCGACAGGTGGATGCAGTTGGGGAGACCATGGTGGCACTGAAAAAGAAAGATGAAGAATCGTATTTCGTTGGGAAAGGGAAGAAAGGAAAGAAAAACCCCAAAGCCACTTCTCCAGCTGATACCAGCGCCATTCATCTACCTTACGGCCAATTATCCGCTCTGCTTTCGCTATCTATACCGCCTCCGACGGATCAGGCTGATGTTCCTCGCGTTATTGAGGACCTGAAGACAAAGAAAGCCTGGTTCGAGGCTAACCAAGCTCGTCAAACAGCGGAAAACGTAGCTAAAGCCGAGGCGGAGATCCTACGTCTGACGAATGGCGCCAAGCCTAATGGCAAGCGGAACGTGATCGTATCCCCACCGAACGGCGGTAGCGAGCCTCTAGAACCTGCTCTCACTCCTTCGGGTAGCGCAACTCCACGGATTGACGATGAGGTCGAGGAGAAGCTTGAGGAGGTTCAGGTTAACGACGCTGAGGAGAACTAGGCACAGACTGAATCGGAACATCTTTTATACCTCACTTATACTACCAGATCGCCTCTACTTATATCTGCAAATTATGTCCGGAGCGGGAAGGCATCAGTATTATTCAACAGAATGAAGACCTATACAATAAAAGTACGAGAAGGGGAAGAGACGGAGCAAAAGTGGCAATACAGATAGGACACTGACAAGGTATGAATAAATGACGGAACAGAACATATACAATCACTTGAGATACTATCTTTGACCGAGTGGTATAATTTTCAATCGAGCTTCGGGGACTAAGGCCCAGCCTCCGTCTTGACGGACTCAGTCTCACGATCTTGCTCGCCATTAGTACCTGAAGAGGTATTCATGCCCAAATCTTGCGTCGCAAATGACGCAACGTCGAACGTGTTCCCGGGCGCATAGTCAGAGAATGAAAGGCCTGACTGGTGGACGGGAGGAATAGAATCATCCGGCTGAACTGACGTATCCATATAATTCAAACCTCCATATGCATCTGCATTAAATCCAGAAGATGATGCGTCCAGCGCGCCGGTCGGGAATGGGTCCTGCTGTAAAGCTGCGAGCATGCTGGAGGTGGTCGGGGTATGGTTCATGACGTGTTGAGCGGAACGCGTTTCCATGGTGTTGAAACTTTCCTGGCCGGCCATGGGAGATAATGAAAAGAACTGTTGCTGCATGACTGGTTCAACAGATGCGGCCACGGAGTTGGTGGAAAGTGCCACGCTGCGCAGGACGTTCACTGCAATCCAATCACTAGGTGAAACGTTAACGACGTCTCAAGAAAGGAAAATAGATGGACTTACTCTAAGAACAGCTTCATGATCTGAAAGGCTCCGAAGGCTGGGTCGCTGCGGATGGTCTAGTGGCTATTGGTGAACGGAGGAAGAATGATCAGGGGAGCTCTTACCAAATCTCTCATGACCTGACTGGTCACGTAGCCCCAGCGGATCAAGACACTTCGGGAACTCATGGTGCCTCGATCATCACCAGTTCCTATCCGCTGTCCCATGAGCCTCTCACAACATTTGTCAGCCCAAGCCATGACCTCCCTAACCGGTTCTGGAGTCTTTGCCAAGCTGTCCATCATGCCCACGAAATCGACTTCTAGAAGCTGAACAAGCTCCTCGTGACGACAATTGCAAACAAGAGCAGACTGATTGCGAACAGATTCAAAGTCCACTTTCTGCCAGGAACGGCGCATCTCGGAAAGCTGCTTCTGGTTCGTCAATACGGTATTGAGGGCTTGGGTAACTTGGTATATGTCCAAGAAGCGCACTGCAGTAATATGAGCCAAGCCAGTAAAAATGCCGAGAAAGTCACATACAAACAAGATGGCCAAACCGCGCTCCAAGTTCGACCTTGGGCTCAACAAAAGTGTTGCCATATCCTTCCAGCGCAACAAGCAGGATCTTCTCCATTTTGCTTGCCAACGTCCTAAGACTAGTCATAGCAGCAGGAGCGATCGGGGAAAGCATCTGGGACCTTAAAAACTCAAGTATTTCCTGTCGAAAAGGTCAATGAGACATGCCAGACGAGGCAACATCCTGGACGTACATCGTATAGAATTGCGTCGGCTTTGGCCATTAGACCAGCGATAGCGGGGGCATGCACTACTTCTCGATGATTCCCACTCAAGCTGGACCAGAAACTTCGGAGGTGCATCTCGAATTGGTCGAACCTGAAAGCACGAGCGCTCTCGAGGACGGCATCGAGATGGTCTTGGAACCATCCCCACACCTCACGAGCAGCGATGCTCTGCGGAGATGCAGAATTAGATCCTATCGCCTCTTCGATGGACGGGAAATGCGGCATATGGCGGACCGACATATGCTGCTGCGATGGTACGAAAGATGCTCCAGTGCCAGGTCCAAGCGACATGGTAGATTGTGCAGCGAGGTTTGGATCCGATTGGCTAACATGTCGACGGATGGAAGCATGGCTTGGATATGTGTTGCTTCTCGCAACAGCTTGTGCCTGAGAGAGCAAGCTATTAGCAGTAGGTGTTTTGTCACTGATGTCTCCATAAGTGAGACCAGCAGCCTTGAGGTCTCCAGAAAGGGTCAACGAGTTCCTCTTCGATGCACTGGATCCCTCGGAATCTTCATCTTCATCTTCATCGGACCGTTCTTCGCCTTTATTTGGATTGTCGGAAGATTCTTGCGCGGCACGAGCGGCGTTGATGGAATGCTGGCCAGCACTATTGTTTGATTTCCGGATGTAATCCTGAAGCCATTCGGCTTCAGCCGAAGTAGCGGGACGAATGCCGCAATCTGGCCGAACGTGGCGTCAATCAGAATTCTTCCGATCACCATCAGATGTGGCACTGAAGCAGTGTACGCACAATGATATTTGCTATTTCCGCGAACACCCAAGCGCCGTGTCTTGATAGTAGGAAAACACAGACGAATAGCCTTGCCTAGTGTAGCCGTATTGATGTGAGGAATCCCGTACTGATCGCACACTCGTCTGTACGAAAAGTAAAGACCCTGGCGGGGTACATTGCCATCTGGATAAGGCGCGTAATTTGCTGTCAACCTTTGGGCGCAGTAAAATGATGAGATGCGTATGTGAGTAAAAGCACAGCATGAACTCACCAAGCCTGAACAAAAATTTGTTTAGCTCTATCAGATGCACTGGTTGTTGTTGCGACGCGGACATTGGCAGCGAGCTTTTCCAATTGATGATCAGGACCCAAAGACATCCTGCCAAAGGCGCCAGCGGTGTGGATAGTTTCTTGATTAGAGGGCAAGGTAGAGCCATGCCCATACATGCTAGGGTAGTCTGAGGGATTTCCAAGGAACATGGAAATGTCATCTGTTTCACTGGATGAAGAGTGAACACTTTCTGAATCACGGGGGTACGGAGAAGCAGCAGCCCGGGCTCTGAGATGAGTTTGACGGATATGGCCTTTAAGCGCAGGATTAGTAATATTAGTGTTTGGAGGAGATTGACCAGGGGGAGTCATGTCGGAGGGAGGAAGTGAGAAGGAGGTGTGGCGGGTCTGATCAGCGCTCATATAAGAGAGTCGGTAGTGATCGTCCAATGAGGTAGGTAAACCTGATGACATTCTTGACATACCGCCTTGAGAAGAATGAGGACGAGAATTAGGCGAATGAGTAGAGGACGAAGAGACAGAATTTGATCTTGAATGTGGGTGATTGAGTGGTAGAAAGTCGAAAGGGATACTTGAAGACATAGTCTGCAAGTTGACGGCAGCCATATAGATATATATGAGAGTTGCTGATGAAAGGGAATAAATGAAAGTGGATGCCGATGTAGTGATCAAGGCAAATATAGTCGGTCCAGCCGTCGATTTTGAATGAACGACAAGAGATTTGGTTTTGTGAGACAGAAGCCGCCGCTGACTGGCAGATGGTAAGGCAGAAAAGAGAAGATTTTTAGTCGATGGGTGAGTATCTGCCCTAGTGCAAAACGAAATAGCAGACTCAAAAGGACTCTAGTCTTGAGCTAGGCCAATATGAATGATAGAGAGGGAGAGCAAGTAAGCAAAAAAGATAGATTTTGCCTCCTCGAAAGACGCAGTAATAGGTTTGCAGGAACGCTGACGAGATCTTCTAGGAACTACTACAGAAATGTGGTCGGTGGTCAAGGCAACAACGCCGTTTTAGAACGGGTTAAGAATCAACAAAACTGATCAAGTAAACACAAATAATAATCCATCTCCTCTACACCGCCGCCGCGCACTTCCCACACCGCCATACCGAAAAAAATAATAATCCTCCTACATCGTATCAAAACTGATCATCAATCATACGGACACCCCGGCCTCACTCCTTTTAAATATCTTCCCCTCCCATATACATATACTTCCTGAACTGCTTTCGGAGCTTTTTCTCCCGCGGCTTCCCCAGCTCGCAGGCTAGATCTAACCATGACGGTATCGTAAGATCACGCAGTTCATACGGTGCAAGCTCTGATTCCGTTACCCCTGCTTCGCGGAGTGACTTGGGTAAATTTCTCAGCGGTACGGGTCCCTCCGTGAGGTGCAGGCTCGAAATCGGGAACGTTAAGTATTCCAGCTTAAACTTTGGTCCGTCTTTCTCATCATATTCCTCAAGTTGAGGTATGTAATACTAATTTCCTCATTAACTCCAAATGAAATAAAACTTGTAGAAGCACGACGCACCTGCGCATATCCCAAAGGTGTCCACAACGTATTTTGCCGCGACGGAGCGTGGCTATCAGAGCGCCAGGGACGAAGCTTGCACCTCCACGAGTCCCGATATCCCGCACCCATGCATTGGCGGTCATCGTTCCCATCATTACCATGACGATACGGTAAATGCTTCCATCGGGAGGCTCGTTCCTTCTTTGTCATCAGGAGATACTCGTCTTCACCGACGACACCCACAGTCGTCGATCCCAGCCCCGAGATGTTGTAGCTGAACACTCTGAAGCTGGGTAAATATGGATTGGGCACCAACGACGGGCTGACCGTGACTACCGCATAGTCGTCATAATTCAAATGCTTTGACCCCTTCGCCAGGGCTTGAAAGTTGGTCATCAATGCTTCAAAGATTGTACCCTCGGAACTATGAGGCACCATCCCGTCCTTTTCAGGGCTGACATCGAGATCGGCGGCCTCGACAAAGTAGAACTACAGCCGAGTCTCGATTAGAGTCAATTGAATAAAGGGAGCCACTTACGTGATCAACGTTCAAGTGCTAGACAAGCACTGTCAACCCTTTGTTCGGCGACATACTTTGAAACATTACTCACACCAAATAAACTGCCTAAAATGATATCTTGATATCTCAGGCTCAGCTCCGCGTATCGGTAGTACTGAATCATACGTCAGTCACCCGTGCATGCACAGCCCACTGAAGCACTTACACACTCGGGAAAGTAGTGATAGTCAGACGGGGGAATATGTCCTGAAAATTCGGCATCAAGACAGGTATGACATTTACAACAAAGGCATACCAGTAACCCACACCTGTAATCGACGTCATGTTATTTATCACCAAAAAAGTGCCAATACGTCATACCTGCATCTGCCGAGCCCGAAACATTTCAAGCTGTTCTTCCAGCCAGTCAAACTGCAAGTTACCAGGGTCGCTAGCATCACCGACTAGACACCCTCTCACAGCTGTCAATTTTACATGTCAAAAAGCATATTAGGCGGGTCAGGCATCAGGGACCTGACCTTTGTTATTATGGTAGAAATACATTGTGTTCAGACTAATCGCCGCAAGTGCATCGGGTATCACTTCTAGTGCATAATATGCACCGTTTCGGAAGGAGGTCTTGAACCCTGACGGAATAAATGCATCCCATATGCTGTCCAATACATCTCAGCGAATGAAAACGGGACATTAAAGAGTACGAACGACGCAAACTCATCCGTTATTTCATTAGGACCTTAGCCGACATCAGCCGAGAGTCAAATCCGTCAACACCGGTGGCACTCACCTGGAGATAAAGTATTCTGCAGTAGTGGATGTTAGAAAGACAAAGGGATCGTCAAGATAGAAACCACTTGCGTGCGCTGCCAAGCCAACGATAGCTCTGAGACATCACCACAAAAACTCAAATATAAGCACTCACGCCAAACATCATTATTTCCTATTCATGGACAGCAGCATCGATGAATATGCAATCCCGGGACTACGGCGCAAAGAACCCACCCAAACTTGGCACAACCGGGATTCCTTTCTTGAGGAATACATCTTCCATATTCTTTGCAATGGCGCGATTAAGAGCAAATACTTCGTCAAGTGGTCGAGGTATCTCATGGTCCTCGTCATGTCTGGATGATATGTTGTCAAAAGGGACTCCAGGTGACTACCGAGACTCTACCTAGCGTTATCACCGGTCCCTATGATACCTCAAGTTCAGCGCGGAAAAGGAAACTTCAAACAATGAGCACGCGTACATATAACAAAGTCTATCTCAGAGCTCCAATGCTCCTCTAGATGTTCGAACGTGATGTTCGTCAATGTCCAAGGCGAGTCACAGACGCTGCAGAAGCATGTTCGAGTTGGGATATGCGACTGAAGGAAGAACTTTGACTGACCCGAAGGGTGTCCCATAATATCCTGCCCGCTGATCATTGTCTGACGGCTCCTTTCGATGGCATTGGGACGACTGAGAAGTACCCTCTGCATAGTATGGGTCGGGATGAATATCGGTGATGTGCAGGAAACGTCCATGAAGTTTTCGATCGGATGTACTCGGAGCCGCGTGCAAGACAACTTGAGGCGGCGCGGCCAGGGCCTGCCCACACCAAAGGCCTGCTAACCACAGGGTACGTTTCTTCATATTTTAGGAAACCAGGATCGCTCAATCGTCGAGTTTTAAGGCATGTACGTGGTTATTCTCGGATCAACTTGAACAATTGACGTTGCCTTGCGTTAGACGCGAATTAGATGCGAATTACATCAATCGTTCGATATTCATTGGCTAGTACGTTGTGTGGCGACAATGAGTCACACTTATTAAGTACGCGTGGTAATAAAGGACTCGCACCTTCAGCGTGGCTCAACGATATTAATGACACAACGTTTTAGATACAGTGGGTGCACTGAGAATAAGTATGCCACGTGCTTGAGCGCTTGAGCTTTGAATAGTGACTTAGTACTTAAGTTCCATGACCTACTAGTACAAGTGTGATTGAGTTCAAGTGCACTACCTACCATGGACCATGACCCACATCATCAATCAGAATCACACTGCATGTCAGGTGCTTGCAATTAATATGATTCCGTAGAGTACTAATCATCCATCTATCAAAATACAAAGGTAAAAGCCTAATGTCTACAGTAATTTTGCGTTCCAAAGAATGTTGCTGCGATGATACTACATGGTGCACATTTACACCGCAATGATGGCGACAAGGAATGAATGAATGCCCATACCCAAACGTCTACGTGGGTGAGGTGAGTTAAACTTTTATACCCGAAGTAGTATGGGTCATATCCACAGTCACGGGGGAGGAAGCAGTGTTGGGCCTGTGCCAGGCGAGCAATCTCCTCGCATTGTCTTCTGTGTTAAGAACACTGCGGATAGACTGCTCTGCAAAATGACAGGTCTTATGACCAGTTCAAGCTTCAGCGAGCGAACGATGAAACGAGAGGAAACACCTTACCCTGCTGTATCCCCCGGCTTTTAGTGTTTGACGAGATCTTGAGATTGAATTGTGGATCGAGTCGTATGCGTGTCGACGTCTGTATCGGTGTTAGCACTGCTGTGGCCGATATCACACGTGGAAATACATACAAGATTCGTTCGAGCTCGCTCGGAAAACGAGGGGGGATGAAGAGGTCCTCTCCAGATAGATAACGGTCGAACGCGTGATACGAAGCACAGTGGGCGACAAGAGACTCGTCAAATGAAGGGCGACTGATGTCCCAGTCTAACCAGTCCTCGCTGTAATTTCAAGTCAAAAAATGGACTTTGTGACGATGCAATACCGCGTACCTGAGCTTGGAGTGTGCCATTGCTTCTGTGCTATGTGGGGCAAGAAAGTTATCCATGGCCGTAATTTCTGGACGGGAATAAGGCCGATGTTGGACAACGAGGAAGGAGTCAGATAGCTCCTGAGGCACCCACGTAGCACCGACTATGTACTTATAGGGGTTAAACTGCCTCCTCAGGATGACACCATAATTTATTTTTTTACCCGAAACACTTAATTATTATGTAACTGATATCGCCTGATTTGTTTATCGTTATCATACACTGCATGTTAATGCTTGATGGCGCATCATGCACTTGTGCACTGCAGTGCACAGGCTTTCTTCTCCATCAAAAACAGCTTTAATGTTTAACTAGTGGTACTAGAGCACTGGTTCGGTCTGCGTTCTGGTCTCCTACGATTTTTTAAATTCTTTGTGAAATAATCATTTTCTATACGAATAAGACTAGATAGCTAGGTTCATGTTTCGGTTCCGAAGACGACGCAATATCAAACGCCGAGCCGAATGATGAAGTTATGCAACCGGACCCTCCCGGATCTTGTGACAGCCTTGGTGAAAGGCTGTCCTTTGGATTCTTGGAAGTTGCAAGTGTCTGGCATGAATACCGAATCCCCTGGCGCGCCTCTACTTTTCGCGCCTCCCGATGCTAGATCCTCGCGTTGCGTTGCGTTCCTCACGAATGTCAATAAGAAATACGGACTTGCGCTAGATTCGTACTTTGACCTCTACCGATGGTCTATCGGCCACATCGATTCATTCTGGGACACTGTATGGGATGAAGTCGCTATCGTCGGCTATAAAGGGCAAGGTGTCGTCGATAATAATGCTCTCCCAGCAGCAAACCCACCATGGTTCAGCGAAGCGAGGATCAACTGGGCTGAGAACATGCTGACATGTCGTTCGCCAGATAAATTCGCGCTTATACAAGCAAGTACGTTGATACAGCCATATTCGTTGATTTACGCGATAATCATGGCCGATTAGCGAGTGACCAGTCCCCTGTTACTCGTCCGAAAAATTTCGGCTCTCAGAAGCCGCGTCACTTCAAGGTACGAGCAATCACCGTTCAAACTGCGTGTACAGCCATTCAATGACCCCCGTCACCTCGAATGATGCATCAAAATTTTATTGACACATAGGATATATATCATGGCCGCTATTCACGCTCTACAGTGCGGGATATGCATTCGAAGTACCGTCGCAACAAAATACCTTCCACAGTGGTCACATCTTTCGAAAAGCCCGTCCCAGTCCCAGACACTTACACCTGTCTCACCGGAGAGGTCAGCAAGAAGACCTGTTTCATAGGCCGAGAGCCTGTTCATCACAACCATGCCACTGTCTTGTCCGAGCGGGAGACGTGTGGATACACGTTGTCCACGACGAGCCGCCATTGACAACTGACTAGCAGCAGCACCTTGAATAGATCCTTTGTATTAATTAGTTTTTGAATGATACTCTATAAATTGTGCTACAACTCACCAGCACGACGATGAACTAGTCGGATAAATGGACGTGGATTTGCTGAGGGTGCACCAACTAAACCACGGAGTTGTCGAAAGTCGGGCCAAACTGAGACATGGGATCCGAGATAGCCGTGGAAGTAGGGCGCAATGTCATGCTCATTAGGAGCAAGCTGGCGGAAGGCATCATGAACTGGATTCATGTTAGGTTGGGGGTTTGCAACTACGAGCAGACCATTAATACTGACACCTGCATCTAGGTAACAGTAAATACATACCGAGTGTTGGCAGTTCTTCGTAACTAGAGGTAAAAAAAGATGTGTGATAAATATCTGTGATGTTGGCTGTCGTGAAATCGTGAAAATCGTGTCAGTACAAAGGACGTGATCACCAGTGCAACATGCTAACCTCTAAATCCACACTGCTCATTAGCACACTGCATCAAGACATGCCCATTCACGGCAGAGTCCACAATCCTGGTGGAACAAGGTGTGTCTGAGAGCATGCCGCAGAAACATTCTATGAAAAGCCCTCGACGCTGCAAGTAATCTGCCAAGCCATAAGGACGAATGCGGAAACGACCCGACTTTGGGCTGCAAACATAACTTTAAGTCAGTGGTTGGCAGTAAGTCAAAGTGAGCTACACACTATGCAACAGTGACAAGTTGCTTCACCTCACGTGAAAAGATGACGAGTTCTGTGCTTCCATGCTGGTACTCGATACACGGGCGAAAAATTGAATCCATGATGGCTAGCCTGGCCTACTGTACTATATCATGAGCGAGATGCTGACCTTTATACAGAGAGCCTTGCTGAATCCCTCGGCCATGTTATGCGAGGTAAATTTTGAATGCAAGTGTCCGTTCAATGAACTGCAAGAGCCCGAAATTAGTGGGTTCCTAAGTGTGCGGGTGCATCGGTGCCCATTTGCAAGTCATTGATGAACGTCCAACTGTCACATATACAGGCAATTATTTGAATTCAATGCTAGTATCTGCCCCCCATTTTTCCTTCTGTCTAATTCTCAATGAGTCTTACCTGTTCGCAACTTGAAGCACTTGAAAAAGTGCAACAGATATTGGACAGTGCAGGATTGTCCCCTATCTCAGTCACAAGCTCAGTTGTGTCATCGCCGTCATCACACCAAAATACACCAGACGTGGATTCAACCCTCGACACCATCTCCACTCCCCCATATCCAAGATATCAGTCTCCCGCTCCATATTATTTTACCACCGAGGAAATTTCACGGAGAGCCAACTATGTGAATCGAGCCACCAAAGTCAGCGCAATTGTTGATCACCCTGTTCATGCTATCCTCGAGTATCCCATAACAGCACCTGGCAGCATTGCGCACCGTTTTGTTGTTGATCCCATATCCTTCGTGCAGCCTCAATCAGCATTCCAATATTCTCTTGGTGGAGGTCATGGTGGGCGTGAAAATGCAGTGTGCCTGCTTCTCCGAGATGATGCAGGCAAAGGTGTTCGTTGTCGCCAGCTTAAGTCATCGTGTATGTACATTAATGATGTCTGAGACTATTGATTTTATCATACTAATAAGAACGAGAACATACAGGCAATGGCCTCAAGGTATGTACATTCAACGAGGCCAGTTTCAGCAGTAATTATGCTGCATCTCCGACTTGGAGTCTGTCTCAGGCTGGATACAGTGATGATTCTGCAGAGGCAGAGGTTTTCAACAAGACTCTAGCATTTTTTTGTGCTGTCTCTGAACGGGGATGTGGCTTCGATGCAAACTTGGATTTAAGTCCTGAGATAGTACTAGACAGCTTTGATCTTCACTCCGAGTCAGAGTCCAGGGGGTGTGGGGCTCCCCTCATGTTATCTGTGAATAATCTTGGCCGTCCATATATTCAGTCAGTTCAACTTAAACGGCTAGAGTGTGTACTACATAGACTAATGATCCATTGCAGCTGCAAAAATTTCAATGCTTCTGTTTCTCGAGCTCGCACCCATCTTGTCCTCCGGAATTTGGACGAATTCAATACTGATTACTTGCGGGCACTTATAGAGAACGACCTGAAGGCAATTTCCTTTCATGAAACACGAGCAAAAAATGATGGATATGGTCCTCTCATGCCGTGCACATTTGTTGCCTCCCCTGCTGAGCAGAAGCAATGTTGTCGTGAGTTACTTTCTGTCATTTGAAGTAGCATATATCCTAATCTGTTGGGCAGCATATTGGCATCGAAATCATGAAGGAAAATTGGCTCGTGGAACACTTCGTAGCTGGCCAGTTCCATGCAAGGCAAAGTTCGACATATATACACCATACAATCTCACTGCCTGCCCACAAGTCCTCGTTATCTGCACCAACAATCACAGCCACCCTCCGCCTGCACCTGTCAAAACTCCAGAAGCTATTAAAGCCATTTTCTACGAGTTGCTGCTCACACTCAGCTGGAAACTTGCTGATGCAACACCACGTCGGATTTTACTTGATTCTGCATTCATACAAGCTTTACAAGCTCACCTCAGTTGGAAGGAAACCCGCAATCCCACACTGTCAGACCTTCACCCGTCTCTTGGGAACTCTGACCATGCTCGGCGCCTCATCAACACTTTGCGGTTTAATGAATTTCCAAGTGGAACAGGATTCGCAGGTGCTATTCACTTGGCAACAAAACACGATCTTTTGCCCATTGACGAGCGCTATATTCGTTGTGCGGAGTCACATCAGCTATCCACCAAATCAGCATCAAATCCACCTGCGGCCACCACATCAACTTCGATTAGTAGTCTGCGGCTGATCATTTGTATGACAAAGCGGATGTCATGGCATCTGATGCAAGCAAAACGGCTCTCGATCGACACTTCATTCAAACGTGTACATGGCTGGCAGGAATTTGAATTTGAGTCTTGGGACGTTGCCCACATGAAATGTAAGTTCAATACCAAATTGCTCAACTCAGCTGATGGCCATGACCATGTATTGTAGCTGTTATTGGTGCTCGAGCATTCACGACATCTCAATCAGCACAAGCACACTTCATCCTCTTCCAACGAATATTCGAGATTGCCAGTGCGGACACAGGTTGTGCTGTTCAGTTTCAATACATGCACGGAGAAGGGATTCAAACCATCATTGCTGATGGACATAAAGGTCAAGGTCTTGGTAAGTATATTTTCTTGGAATCCGAGTCAACGTGAATTGCAATTTGAATATATTCAATAATTCCACAGGCCTAGGTATGTATTGCGTATACCTGTGTAAAGACTCAATACAGGCTTGCCGCTATGACACCACTGCTCTACTTCGTGACCTGGATCCATATGACCATCTGCGCCGCTTCTACCGTCTATGTCTTGCGCACTATAAACGGAATATCCGTAGTCTCCGTGGTCAAATTCCCAAAGATGTGGAAATTGCCATGTTGACGATCGCATCAGCGGAGCCTCATCCTGATCTACAGGGAACATTGAAGAAGATAAAGAAAGGTGGAAAAAAGGCTGCAGGTTTGTGATATTTTCTAATTCATGTTTTGAAGTATTTCTAAGGCAAGATTACTACCGGCAGCATGGCTTAAAGATAAAATTGAGGGCACGAAGTTTGTGCTACCGGCACTCTATCAGCCAAACAGTCTCATCCCGCTCGAAATTTGGAAGGCCTCACCAACTACTACCAATGGAAACGAGCAAGCACACAGGAATATCAATCGTGATGGTGTGGGTCTTACGCTATTGGGAGGAATCATGCGAGGATTTCACTACGACACAAACATCAGCGCTAGTTTGGACCTTTTCGATGCATTTGGCATCAACTCCAGCGACCGTTTATCTACCCATGCTTACCGTGCAAAACGTGCTCTTGCTCGACAAGGTAAGCAATACTAGTATATTCATGTTATTATCTAGAACACTTAAATGGTTTTCAGTCAGATATACAAGGTCTTCGCCCTCGGAGGGCAACACAAGCTTCGCATGTGTTCATCTCACTCCTCCACCTGTTGAGCCCCAACCTGAACTCATTCCCAACTCGTCTCTGATGACCGGTTCCACCGGCGGCGCCATCCCAGTATCGACATTCAGCACTCTCACTTATGCACTAACTGCAGGTGCACACGTTATGGATCATCGAGCTCGTTCCCCATCGTTTAGTGCTGCACCTCCCACTGTATGCGCAGTACATCACCATATCTATCCCACTCGAGATCAACTGAGCACTTTCAGTACATTGCAAGGTGCTGTAGAGTAGATGATACGATGCCCGGCGGTGCAATTTTTATTAATGGTGCAAAGATTACATGTATGATGCGATGAGATAAGTATTTGGGGGGCAGGAATCAGAATCAAGAGCGCGCGCGACCTTAAACTCGACGTCGGTCGCGGCCTTCATAAGATGAGGTGAGAATGTCAGAGAACCGCGAGCCTGGAACTGAGCGGCCGAGCAAGCGAGAGAGATGAGATGAGAGAAGGCCGCAATTCCAGGTCGAACGTGACAGAGACGGCAAGACAGCCGATGAATGAGGACATGGTGCAGTGGGTGTGAGAGAGTGAGGACAACGAGCGAGCGAGTGGGAGCAGTGAAAAGCCGGTGGAGGATCATAACTGTCTAGGAAGATGTAGTTAAACATATGTCAGTTGGTGAGAGTCTTCAGAGTTGGATTAGTTAGTACGTACATTTCAAAAGGCTAAAGGCAGCCTCATTAACCGACGAGGACACCAACGACGTACATCGATATTTGGAGCATCGAGCAGCGTGCGCAGGTTTGGCCGTGGAGGCAAGATAATAATGAACAGCCACGTCAGCGCTATTGTAAAGTCAACAGGCATTAGTAACGAAGATGGGCTCCTCGGGGTCTTGCATAGGCTTGAAGGAGCAATTGCTCGTACCTTGAACTGACGCAATCCCAGGGAGCCGAAAATTTTCGGACGAGTAACAGGGGACGGTAGACTCCCGATTAGCTGAGCCCACTCCCGAGTGCCCGAATCCTCCTCATCGGCGTGTCACATATGCCGACCTTTACGCGATGGTTGCTGATCTGGTTTCAGCGTTGCTAACGCTCGATTTGAAGCCCGGGGATCGAGTAGCTTCGTACTCCTCGAATTGTATTGTACGTCACTGCCAGTTAAAGGTACACTGCCCACTCATAACTTTACGCCCTCTGTCAGGAAAATGTCATCGCCTGTCTAGCTGCCACCGCCATAGGTAGACCATTTCTGCCACTGCTGCTTTTTGCTAACCTTTGTAGGGTGCATCTGGGTCAGTGCAGCAGCAGACTTCGGGACTCAGGGGGTATTAGAGCGGTGCGCGAATTTATCGAAATGCTGTCGCACACACTTGATAGTTTGTAGATTTGAGCAAGTACAGCCTCGAGTGATTTTTGCGGTCGATGCCGTCGTGTACGTCGCTCCCCTGGTAAATCAGGGTTTTGTGGTTCAAGTCATGCAGGTACAACGGAAAAGTACACCATCATCTGCCAAAGCTACAATCTCTTCTTTCTGGACTCTCCGAGCGATGCTCGCTGAACCCAGTCGTGATCGTCATTCAGTCAGCGAGGAACGCATCCGCGTGGGACGACACCAACTGGGTCTCATGGGACTCCTTCATTTCGAAGGGCAAGTACAGCTGTTTGGGCCGCACTGCAGAAGGAGAAATCGAGTGGTGTCGTCAAAGCTTCGATTGGCCGCTGTGGATACTTTTTAGTTCGGGCACAACAGGTGTGTACCCCTACATACCCATACTCTAACGCAGTAACACTGAACTCGGTTGGTTCCCGCAGGTCGCCCTAAGTATGTTACTGTGGTCAGCAAACCTGTTAAATCATACTGATTTTTGCAGACCAATTGTGCACCGGGCTGGTGGTATGCTGTTACAAGCGAAGAAAGAATTTGTAATCTGTGCAGACCTCCGCCCTGAAGACGTCTTTTTCTATTATACCACGACGTAAGTTGTTCGTTTCACTCCCAAACTGTCTGCATATTAACTCGTTGTATTGTAGAGGATGGATGATGTGGAATTTCCTAGTGAGCGGTCTCAGCATCGGATGTGCGCTAGTACTCTACGATGGGAGTCCTCTGAGGGACCCCTCTTATCTGTGGCATCTTGTGGATGAACTGCAAATATCCATTTTCGGAACGAGTGCGAAATACCTCGATCAGTTATCGGTGAGCAGCCACCCTAACTATGGCAATTATTGAGTACCAATGCTTGAATGGCAACAGCGGATAGGCTACAGGCCTCGTGACCATCACGACCTGACTTGCTTGAGGCATATTTACTCGACTGGTTCGCCATTAGCCCATGCGCTCTTCGACTACGTGTATGAACGTATTCACCCCAACGTACTTCTCGCGTCTATAACAGGTATGATCTACAAAGTCATTTTCGTCATGCGCCTTGAACTGTTCTTTCAGGAGGTACGGACATCTGCTCACTCTTTGCTGGGATGTGTTCTGCGCTGCCGGTACATCGTGGGGAAATCCAATGTCGTATGCTGGGAATGGCAATCGAAACCTATACTCACGACGGGCACAATTGTCAAGCTGGCGAGGCTGGCGAGTTGGTATGCGTTAGACCATTTCCATGTATGCCCATCGGATTTTGGCCCCTCGCTGGTTTCGGGACGGACGAGAATGTCAAGGCTGCAGCCAAGAGGTTTCGTCTATCCTATTTTGCTGAATACAAGGACGTGTGGTGTACGCGCCCCGGATCATGAGATTGCGCCTCCCCTTACTAACTTGATTTGGATTAGATCACGGAGACCACGTGCTGATCACACCTTCTCGGCATGGAAATGGAGGTGGACTCATCATGCTAGGAAGAAGTGATGGGGTCCTGTGAGTGTAGTACTTTCACACTCCTTTCGTTCTGATCATTTCATAGAAATCCTGGAGGGATCCGATTCGGATCGTCTGAAATATACAACGTCCTTGAAATGTGCTTCTCGTTTTCTGAAGAGCGGAACGCGAACGACACAATTGAGGATGCATTGGTTGTGGCGCAGTCCATTGAAGGCGGCACAGATGAGCGCGTGATCCTATTCGTTAAGCTTTATGGCAAGCGGACGCTATCAATAGAAATGGAGCAGAAGATTAGATCGGAAATAAGATCACGACGGAGCCCACGCCATGTTCCTGCTCGAGTGTGTTCCATTTTTATCAGTCCCCCGGAACGTTGACTGACTATCCGCGGGGGCTTAATAGATAATCCAAGTCGACGATATCCCATATACCTTGAACGGGAAGCGCGTAGAGATTCCAGTTAAAAAGGTATGCTCTTATGGTTTGATGAAGGATTTATGGTAATGAAAATTGGCCAGATCATCAATGGAGCCCAAATTTCGAGTGTGAATTCTGCTACACTGCGAAATCCTGAATGTCTGGCTCAGTTTGCAAGTATCGGAGAGATGCTCCGAAATGAGATATCGATAGCGATGAAACGTTGATTTTGACATGTTTGTACGTTGTTTGTAGGGTAGAAAAGGAAAATTCACTTGCGGGCGTTTCTACTTACCATGTCAAGTGATCGGCCTCGAGGCCTTTACGCGGATTAGTACCTGTCTTCCACAATATTGCTTAGAAGGCCGAAATTTTTCAGTCGTTAAAAGAATGGCTGGCTTTCCTGCTGCGTTTGAGCGGACGCACGACTCGTGTTTCCCCCGGATTCCTGATCGTCGAGGTCTGCCACGCCTTGAATTGCACGGTACACGCCACGCCGTCACAAGTTAGATTTACGAGAATCAAACGCCCCTCCACCTCGTGTACGCATACTTTCCGTACTATATCATGAGGCCCGCACGTCCACTTCCCCTGAATTGCCAACATCAGTCCACCCGCCAGCATAACCAGCCTCCTCAGCATCACTATACTCGGGAACGCCAAACGTCCCGTCGCAAGCGACTCCCTACACTCTCTATCTCAAGAATATTCACGGGGAAAGCGATGCCATCAAAATTTAACATCTTTAGAACTTGTATTTACGGTTAGCACTCATATTCATGGGGTCTATTACGGCCTTGCTCACTAGACGACAGGCGTAGTCTTTATTTGGACACTGATCTGCCTGGGTATTGCAGCTCACTTCCAGAGTCTACTGGTCATCACAGATCTCAGTAAGTTTGCTGCATATTTCCATAGATCGTAACTTACGCGAAGGCAGCTCGTTTCGTTCCTTTCACCATTTTCGTATGTAGTGTCAGCATGCTCATTCTCATCATCTTGTGAGTTGATGTAAAATTCACACGTCGCGTCGGCATTGACTGGGACCACAGGCTTGGATGTAGCATGGTTCGAACCAGCAATCCGATCTCCACGAGAATCGAACTCGGATGCCTCGGACTGCTTGGGACTTTCTGGCTTGGTACGCGAATCGCGGGCTTAATAGCGGTTGCATGCTGATTGACCGGTCCAGCTTTGGGTGCCTTCCTAGCAAGCTCTGACTCGGAGAACGCCAACGTAGAATGCTATTCATCCGATGCAGAGACCTCTCCCATCGATGTTCCTGGGTGTAAGTTATCAGCGTATGTCCGTTCATAGGGAAGTCTAACATTCGTCCCAAGTCTCTACAGAGACATATCAGGCTCAGTACCGGGTTCTGGAGGCATTCTCACTTTTCAATCTTATTCTCAGTAAGTGAATTGAATCCATGTCTTGGAGCATATCTCGAGCTATCACAGTATTGGTGTTTTTGTTGTTCTTGCTGGCGCTCGCGGTAAAGCATCATTTCCGCGTCAACCGCAATGTGTGGTACATTGCGGTCACTGAATACCCGTGGTTCGGAAAGACTATGTCCAAGTTACCAGCGCCCGTTAGCAGTCGGTCACGATCAAGAGGCAAGACTTACGATGAGAAAGCCTCAGCACCCTGGGAGAATGAGACAAGACGCGGGGACTCACGTTACCCCGGATGGTCAGCTCAAGTCCCGGCACCGGCACGCGCGTCGGACAAGTATAAGAGGGATGCGTCACCCAGGCGGTGACCGCTGTATACGTTTCACAATTGGGTTCTATTGGCATAGACTGTCATGATCTGCATTTACTTGGGAAAACTAATAAATACAGTTTGTACTATAGCACGGGACTGTCAATATCATGATATTCTCTTGAATGATTTTCAATAGCGTTGCCTGACAACGCATCCGTCTTGCGGGCCAGAAGTAGTCTACAAGTGACGGGTTTGTGCGGAGTGCACTTTCACCACTCATGGCGACTGATCTCTATGTAATTGACAATCGACACACTCCGTTTTTGCCTGCAGGGCCATGTCGTTGTCGCGTTTGAGCGCCTGAAGGATGCCACGAGGCACTCCAATTGTTGGTTATAGGCAGCTATATTGATAGCCAAATATAGCATTCAATCATCGAATTCATCCGATTCATCCTTCAACCAACGTTTATATCATATACATATTGCATGCTCAGTTACCTTCTCCTTCACTCCTCATTGTTTCGACACGACATACCTTCAATTCACGTAGCTACGACCTTATACCTGAAACCTAACGAGGTTTTCCAGTCATGACTGTCATGTTTGTGACCATGAGGCGCATTGGATATAGTATGTCGCTCGTGCACAATCCACGACCCTAATCAATCGATGCTATCCAGTAACTGCGTTTCTGCTCTCTGCGGCTGTCCTCGGATTGTCGGCCAACTTCGCAAGATTATTCCTCCCGCATATCAATCGTATGTATTGCCACATTTTTATCGGTTATATGGACGCCTCAATCGTCTTATAGGTGATTTCGTTATCTTCGCCCTGATTCCACCATCAGCCACCATCTTCGCTTTTCTATGGATGTGAGTTGGACGCACTACTGATCCGCCTTAATTAGCTTATGCATTTACAGAATGCAGTTCTCGCAGCCGATAGTGGAGGTGACGCTCCACTTCATCGTCGGTGTGTTGTGGCTAGGTAAGCTGGCAGTGCTACCCTTTACCCTTCTTTCTCCGACTAACTTTATCGGTTCGAATCAACAGCATTGGGTGCATGGTCCGCGTAAGTGCATAGTTTCTTGATGCATGAACGGTTATGAACTCCACGCTCAAGGGATGTGATCGGATATCAGCAATGCTACCCACTCCAAACACAGCAGCCTACAACCAAAGGAAGTAGTAAGTGACCAATGCGACATTTCTGCACGTATCAAAGCTCGACGCTCATATGACACTAGTCTCTTCGCGATCATATTGCTACCAAATGAAGGTCACTGAAGCCTTATCGTGGACTCTATTCGTGTTATGTGTGCTCCACTTCCTACGTTCATAGTGCATCTACTGAAGTCTTCCATCGCAGTTGTATTCTTCTTCATTATCCTGATCACGCTTACGTCGCGTGCAGTCATTTGTGGCCGGTACTATGCATGGCGGGAACACGTCTCGCAGCTAGGCTGGTTTGGAGAATTTCCAGGATACCCCACTGAAGCTATTTACCCGCGAACCCCAATGTATGGAGGATACGGTCAGCCATATCCAATGATGGGAGCATACCATGTACAACAGATGCCTGGTCACTCCGTCGTGGTTCAGCCAGGTGTTAATGGTGGCCAGCCTATGGTCACTCACATGCCGGCCTAGGTGTTAACATTGGAAATCATACATGCTTCTATGTATGCCTGCAGATTCGACGTGTTGGAACGAGAGCTCACGATATTTTTTGATTGTACTTTTATTGTAGAGTACTTGGTACACACGATTTGCCAATGTCGGCTGGTCCCGGAACTATTACGTAGAACAATTGATGAAGAATGAAATGAGTGCCTCGTGTCCGAACCAGAAGGGTAATCCAGGGTAATTCGGCCTCATGGTCTGCTGCTGGTCGAAAATACAAGGAGCATCTGGTCATTGATTCCCACCCACCCATTTTCCACTTCTTTCTTACTTCTATCGTCACGAAATGGCTCTGTTTACAGACCACCCGGTCAGGCATGTTCTCAAAGGTGCGTGCATGGGCCTTCATGATATGCGAATGGTATACTGAGCGTGATCTGCAGGCATTTTTGCTCTGGTGATGGGCCATGTGATCATGAAATTTTTGCCCCACTCGGTTCGCAAGTATCGTTATATTTTGGGCGCTTAGAGTAGTATTTTAACGAATGATCGTTTACAGAGGTTATTCATCTGACCCAAACATCAGTGACGATCTTAGCGATCGGGGCACTTATTGTATTGTATGCCGATGTCGGATTTATCTCCAGCAGCAAGCTGATCTGAAGACAGGGTAGTGAAACACCACCGAACCGCAGGGGAAAACAGAGTCTTGTCACAAGGACAGGAGGAGCTAATCTTGATTGCGGCGTTTGGGGCATTCTGGCTCGGTGAGCTTGTCCCATTCAATATGATGAGATAATAATTCAGAGGTCTTTCGTCTTAGCCTTCCTCTTGGCTATGCGCGCGTGGAACCAAGGTAGTGTCGACATCGATTTGGCACATCCACGCCACATGTTCCAGTCGAGCACTGGTGCTGCCCAAAGCAATGTTGTCGGTGCTGACAGTCGAGGCGTTGCGGCAGCAGCGGCTAGGCCACCTGCAGTGGCGTCTGAACGGCTCCAAGGCGCGGCAAGTTATGTCCGACAACAATACAAGCCTCAAGCTGGATTCCGTAAACCATACCCATGCGACCCGAATGATGCTTATTGTGTTGTCGAGGAGTGGACCTTTTACTGAGTATGTACATTGATCCTGGTATTTGTCGGTTTGTATGGATTGCGGATGTAAAGGGGCGTCTTGAGTGTGACGAGGTTGTAACACTAATCTTCGAGTGTATATCTTGTTTTCTACGGCGGCGTTGTGGTAGAGTCTACTCCAGGGGAGTATCAATTGATATAATGACAGTTGAATCAACTTTTTACGCTAAGGTCTCGCGGTGATTAGGCAAGCGGAGTCCCCCAGCTCCATGCTCGGGGGACTCGTTGAATTTTATTGCGAAACCGAGAGACGAAGTACTGTACATGATAGCACAGAGTGTAGAAGACGCGGGTCTCGAGGAAAAAACGTGCTCAAGTGAGCAATAGAAAAGCTCCGGTGGGAGAAAAGATGAAAGTGAGAGCCGGATGTGCGAAGGAGAAGCGCGAAAGAGAAGATGTGAGCGACGGAGGCGCGAAGGACATGCTAACCTAAGGGAGATACGTAGGGTGGGTGGGTGACGAAAAATATATAGAGTAGATAGTGCAGAACGTGCACGAGCAGAAGTGCTTTAGGGGACAAGTGTGCGACGTGAAAACGGATCACGTCAGTTAGACACTTAAATATCCAGATGGAAAGGGGCCTGTAAGAATGACGCTGAGTCATGAGGCTTACCAGCATCGTGAATCGATTCAACTTGGTTAAACAAGTTTAACCCCGATGAATCAACTTTTTACGCTAAGGTCTCGCGGTGATTAGGCAAGCGGAGTCCCCCAGCTCCATGCTCGGGGGACTCGTTGAATTTTATTGCGAAACCGAGAGACGAAGTACTGTACATGATAGCACAGAGTGTAGAAGACGCGGGTCTCGAGGAAAAAACGTGCTCAAGTGAGCAATAGAAAAGCTCCGGTGGGAGAAAAGATGAAAGTGAGAGCCGGATGTGCGAAGGAGAAGCGCGAAAGAGAAGATGTGAGCGACGGAGGCGCGAAGGACATGCTAAAGGGCCTATTTTTTTTTTTTTTTTTAATATGCGGTGTTGTCTTTTGCTTTCTGGTCTTGGTGCCGTTTTCTTATTTGAAGAAGCAGATCCTTGTCCTGAATGACACGCGAGATGTCTCATGTCATTTGTGTGGTCCGTGCGGACCCGTGTAACAGTGCGTTCAGCAAGAATGCATGTTGGCGTATATATTTTTTGAATTCGTCCGATGACCACCGCCCTGCAGCTTGAATAAGATCAGGCGTCATACCTGCTATAGCCAGTGCAGTGGCTCCTCCTGCTCTCATCGAGTGACCCGACATGGCCGAGCCACAATATTGGCGCAGACGCCGAAGAAACCAAGAGCGTGTGGGAATCGAACCAGCGCTTGTCAACCACAGCGCTGGGCGAGAGGGAAAAGACCCGTCTCTGAATGCGAAGTAACGACGTAACACCGGCAGTGGGTCGTTGTCGAGAACGGAATCCGATAACAAGAGGATGGTGCTCCCAGTCCCCAAGCCATCGTTCTTCTGATAAGGTAGCGTGTAGGAGATGCTTCTTGCCGTGATGGAGAGAGTGTGTCGGAGAGGGACTTTTCTGTAAGATTGATGCTTCACTGCATCAGGCCAAGTGAGTTCTCCCAGTCGTTGCAGAGTCAGAAACCCAGTGAAAAGCAGAGCTAAGAACAGACTATTGTCGTGCTCTAACTCTAAACCGAGCTTCCTTTGGACCTGCTGCAAGTCGTCGATACTCAAAGGTAATTTCCTTTGTACCGGTTTTGACAAACGGCGTTTGCAGCCACGAAGTGTCCGTACGACTAGCGATGAACGTCGAGCCGCACGGACGTCAGGATACGTGTCTTCGAGTCGACTCGAGATTCCTGAAAGGTAAGAGTCGACGGAGCGTGGTTCGATGTGATGCGATAACCAAACCACGTAAAAAGATAGTGTATCAATCGTTGGATCGATTGGCAGGTGATGCAGTCGACAGAAGGTGATGTATGAGTTCAGATGCGAGTTGTACACAGATGCTGTTGTTGAGTCAATAGCGAAACCAAGTGCTACTGAGCGCTCGTACAAGAGGCGCTCAGGTGTCCAAGCTTCCCTCAGAGGTTGCCTGGACGATGAAGATACATTCATCATTTTTTCGCTGCCCCCAGCGCATCTCGAGGGGGTTCGAAATCGAAGAAGCTCGCGGCAGGAGCTATCTCCAATACACGTTCGTTCTGGAATCGCGAAAGTGCGTCGGCTACCCTGTTCTCCGAACCAGGGATGAATTCGACACGCAGGTCTACTTGATACTCCAGCAGGACGTCCACTGCCGCTAGAATGATGGAGTTATAAGGGGGATGAGCACGAAGTGAGTTAAACATTGCTACTGTGTTGGAATTGTCGGTGTAAATGAGCATCCTAGGTGGGCTTTCCATCATGTTCGGTATGGCATGAATGGCCGAACACACTGCGAGGGCCTCGAAGAAGAAGATGGTGTCTTTGGGAGCTTCAATGGGCAATGGCGACTGACCGGCGAAGTTCTCGTGAGGAAACCATAGACCCATTCCTAATCCTGATGCGTCCGTGTAGACTACTACCACGTCCTCAGACAGTGGGTTAAAGTCCAAGGCTTTGTAGAATAGTAGCCCGGGCAGCTTCTCCATATGATCTGCCATCCAGTTCAATTCGAAGATGATGCCATTGTTGACATGTAGACGAGCGTGTGGTTGGTCTTTCCCTCGTATCTTCTCGTAGATAGCTGAGAGTCCAGGCTTGAGTAATGGAAAGACGTTAAAACTCCATTCACACCACCCCGCGAGTTGTTGATACTCGCGAAGTGTCCACCGAAAGTTCCTTCCGCCGAATTGACGCAAGTGCATCACCAGCTCGTCTTTCTTGTGTGAAGGTAAGGTAGCCGACATGGCATTAGGGTCGACTTCGAAGCCTATGACTGTCAGAGGACAACCAAAGACTTGCTTTGGACGATCATGAGGGACACCAAGTTCGTCCCAGAGACGTAGTAGTCGAGTTTGCTTTTCCGGGTAGAAACATTCATAGGGTTCATAGTATAACGTTTTCCCCGCGAGTTCGAATGAAAAAGAGTCGTCCATATATAACTTGAGTGCCTCAATTAACGCGTGATGGATAGCGATCCAAGCGACCAGGGACATGAAAGAGATCCAAACTTTGGGGGATCCTCTTCCTCCAAAGTTGTTATTACGGTCTACATGGCGTTGTCCTCGTACCGTTAGCACCTGCTTGGTCTGCCACAGCGGATGCATTGGTAACCTACGAAAAGCTTGCGAGACGTCCGATTTGAATAGAACTAGTTGTTCATGAGGGTGCTGTTGCCGAAACTGAAGCAGCGACGCTCCCAGCGAATGTAAACCATCGAGCTTAGTTCCTTTGATGGCATCTGAATCGATCATGGAGTTGAGCGAGAATTCACCAGCAGTGTGGTCCACGACGAGACGTAGCTTATCAGAATTAGGTTTGGGAACAGTATGCATCGGCACACTATACATTCCAGGAAGTAGTTCCGTTCCGAAACTTTCAGATACTCGTCCCAGTCTTATTTCTTCTTCAAGCTGCTCATCAATGAATCTTTGTTGCTCTTCAGTCTTCGTGCAAGTGCGCATAGAGTTATCGTTAACGGAAGGGTAGGCTTCATCCGAAGCGTCGGCCCATGGCCAGAATCCTTCTCGAAGTGCTCGGCACACCGAAAGAACAAAGGGCTGATTAGGGTGGTTTTTCAACAGGCATTGAAACCGATCAACGTTGATTGGTGTTATTATCTTGAAGAGTTCTGGGTGAGCCGCGACCGTGTGGGCAGCATCACTATCTGCTAAATAAGCGGGCGCAGTTGGTACAGGGTCCGCATACTCTGTAGACCGAGCAGTTGGGCTGAACGAGGCGTCTAAGGGGGACCAAACCAAACCTCGACGAAAACGCGGACGTTTGAGATATGCCTCATGTTGATTTTGACTTGGTTTGATCTTCGTTATGCTTTGATCTGACATGACGGCGTCCACACAACCGGCCGTCCTGTTCAATGTTGCAGATATGGGCGTAGCGACAAGTGGCAGCGCTGCGGGTGCATTCGCCACTATTCCATTTGCGACATGGTTCTCTTTTGACGAGAAGATCTCGTCCTGCTCCCGTGGCTTTGCTAGATTCTCCCGAGTCATTGTGTAACCTTCCTCCGGCAGAGAAATGGGAGCTGTAGATGTCTTTGAAGCATTCAAAGTCGGACAACTCATACCTTCGAGTGTTTCCGACTCTAAATCTGACTGATTTGTCATATCGGAGGACGCGTCCATGGTAACTCTCCAATTGTTGGTCGAACTGCTCGTTGATGTGCTCGGAGTAGGCGTTAAGTTCAGCCTGTCTGAACGGGAAAGCGAATTTGAGGGCTCGTGCAGCCCTGTTCCATGCCGCGTTCCATTGGCCTTGTGTAGTGATCTTCTTCGTGGCCGTCTCTGATACTCCATAGGTGAGCTCAATGTCCCCAATGGTCTCCTTGTGCTTGTCAACGGCTCGTGAAGTGGTGATGATGGTGTGGATGGCGTCGAGATTGATGCTTCGTCCTGCAACAATGTCCGCCCATCCTGACTCGTGAAATTCTGGGCTGCGTTCATGGTACATGAGTTTGAGCTTAGCTTGTTTCTGATCCTGTGCCCAGTTCTGTAAGATGCGGATGGTGAGTTTGAGATTGGGTGATAATGGTTTGGCGGGTTCTTCGAGGACTGATGGCTTAAGTTCAAGACAGGTAAAGTCGAGCTTTGCTCGTTTTCGAGCAGGTTCTCCTGGCTCAATGCTAACATCCCGACTCCTAATCTCTGCTGGAGACTCCTTTTCGAACCGCGAGTTCGACGTTGGTTCAACCGAACGTTCTCTAGCGGCTCCGGCTCCTGCTCCTCTGTAGTTGGCTTGGTCTTGCTCCGACTCCCATTCGTCGAGCATTCCGAGGTAGATAGCCGCAACCGTAATGGGATTTTCACCTGATCCAAGGGGTAGACTTTCTTTGATGATTGTGGAGATGACGTAGGAAGCTTCAAACTTTGTGCACTTGCATGCTTTAAACTCTCTGACGACGTCAAGGCACCTCTTCGCCACGTCTTGTTGGGGTAGATGCGCTCCATCAGTGTCGGTCTCAACCGAAGTCCCTCGCATTCCTGGTCCCCTAAGCGAAGATTGTGTTTGCGACGAGTTGGCGGCATTGTTATTTGAGGTACTCGGGTCTGACATATGTTTTGGAAGTATGACCGAATTTCAACAGCGTTTAAATTCAAGTTTTGACGAAAAATATATAGAGTAGATAGTGCAGAACGTGCACGAGCAGAAGTGCTTTAGGGGACAAGTGTGCGACGTGAAAACGGATCACGTCAGTTAGACACTTAAATATCCAGATGGAAAGGGGCCTGTAAGAATGACGCTGAGTCATGAGGCTTACCAGCATCGTGAATCGATTCAACTTGGTTAAACAAGTTTAACCCCGATTAATGACCCGGCTTTTCTCGGTACTTGAAATGAATATCTCCGACAGACCACGGTATTAGACGCACCACTAGATTAGCCTTATATATATTGCATCCAGTCGCCAGCGATTGTCTAAGTGACTTCAGTCTTTGCGTCTTCCACAAACCCATACATCTTGTATTCTAGTAAACATGATAAGTCTGCTCTTCAGCAAGCTGCGTTGCAAACTTATGTGGTTTCATTCTAGACACACCTCAACAAAGCGCCGTATCGAGACGGATGTCATGAAACTGTAAAGACCACCTGCCTCGAGATGACTCGTACCCTCACTGATGTAACGATTCACAATCCAGGCTCATGTCGGATTACGAGGTAACCCTCGTCAACGACAACATGCGCGAGTTCTACGTCCGCTTCTATGGTCCGGGAGAAAGTACGTTTCCTAATCACTCTTCCGTGCACGTCGGATTAATCAGCACCAGCACCCTTCGCGGGTGGTATATGGAAGATTCATGTAGAGTTGCAAGCGGAGTATCCATACAAGTCGCCAAGCATAGGCTTTATGAACAAGATCTTTCATCCCAACATAGATGAGTTGTCAGTAGCTATCGCGACGCTTCCCGAAATGTCGATTTATACGTTCCCATTACAGGAGTGGCTCCGTATGTCTGGACGTTATTAATCAGACGTGGTCGCCAATGTTCGGTATGCGGTGTGGTTGACGCACGTCCGGTTGTGTCGCTGATCTGTCCCCTTTCATAGATATGATCAACATTTTCGAGGTGTTCTTGCCACAACTGCTGCGGTATCCTAATCCTAACGATCCACTAAACGGAGAAGCTGCTGCGCTCATGATGCGACACCCAAAGGAATACGAGGCCAAGGTCAAGGGTAAGATCATTTCCTCCTATCGTCGCCAAGAATATAACGCCCATTCCTGCTCAGAATACGTACAACGTTTCGCAACAAAGGATATTATGGATGCCGCAGAAGACGGCAATGAGGACGAAGCAGACGAGGAGATGAGCGACATCGGCAGCATCAGTGAGGATGAAGAGCAAGAATCCTGATACCTCTTTCGCCGGCATGCCTTTCTCCCGCATTTTTCATCACTGGGTTTCTGCACATCACTCATATCATTTTACATAACATATCCATTCTGTACTTCACCTAACCTTGCTCAATTCTGTGTTGTTATCTGCCATCATCATTCAATTCGTCCTTTCGCGGGGATACCCTCTTCGCTCGTCTTTTTGATATTTGATGACCTCTATCCCTATCACCTCTGGACAATGGTTGGAAACATCTCATCCCTTTTGCCGTGTTGTATAATTAGGGATTGTGTAGTGCCAACTTCACTGTGTGTCATAATGTATTTTGCTTAGACAACCGCGGGACTGATGAGAGGCATTCGGTAACTCGGGAATGGATTCGGCAAGCAATATTCAAGTAGGAGCGGGAGTCGTTGCTGTAGATGGTGGGAGCGCCGGTACGAGTTCATCGACTCTCTTCTGTATGTCTGCGGCGGCCTGCAAAACGTTCGTTGAAACAACGTGAGTGCAGGAGTGAAAAGACAAAAGATTGTTCGCACCTTCATGAGTGATTCTATTTGTGTTTTGACACTTTCCACGGTTGCGAGCTTAAGCTTACTATGCTTAAGGAGTTCTTCCTTCTGTGCTGTGAGTTCTTTTCTTTTTTGATCGAGTCTGTTGTTAATGATGAGACACGAAGATCTATGCGGTAGATTATCTATTGAACGTGCCTCTGCCTTTCGACAAGTTCGAAGCTCAGGCGATTGAGCATTAGCTGATGAACATTCTGCAGCACATCGTCTGAGCGCGCTTCAGGTGGTGCTAGAGTTCTGAACTCTGACAGAGAGTACAAGGGTACGTCCTGGTAAATGGAGCTGTACGAACGGTCAGTACAGATTGCAGGGACAGATAAAGAATAACGAACGCGAATTGCCTGCATTTGTCGATCTCCCTCTCTAGATGACGCTTTTCATAAAGCAGATTCTGGAGGCCAAGATGTGTCTGATCCATGTCATGGCGGGCCTCTGTGGTTGCTTGCTTGCATGCTCTTGTTGCAGCATTTGCATTTCTATTGAGGGCTTTGAGACGAGCTACTAGAGCATTGGCACGGATTTGAATAGACGTTGGGTCTACGATGGTCAGGTCAGAGGAGACTAGCTCTTGAAAGTGTTTTATGGCTTGGTCCTCTGCCATGGCGAACTGAGACTAAAGCTATAGAGAGCACGTGCTTGATTCGTCAGGAGCGGACCGAATAATGAGTCCGTGATGATGGGAAGGTGAAATAGTAAGCCGCGCGTTGAATCAGCTACTAGACGATTACAGAGATTGCCATCATCCCGGTGTGCATAGCCTGTCCAGCCTCACGCTGACGAACGCACGGCCCCTCACGGTAATGTAAATTTACATCCATCACTACTACATTGACAGTCTTCTCACACTCACGTCAATAAGTTCAAGAACAACTTAAAGCCCCTGCATCTACCTTTCTTCAACACATATCTTCCTCGGTCAACATCATGGCCTCAATGACACGCACAAGGTCTGGTACGATCCCATCCATGGAGACCAGCGGCCACGGATTCACAGATAACACTATCATCGTCGGTGAGTCCCCCCTGTCCCCGCCACCATCACCGCCCGAATCAAATCTCTTCATATCTAGTGTTCGGTGCTTCCGGTGACCTTGCAAAGAAAAAGGTAGGCGCGAATGCTCTTTTATCCTCGCCCTAGACGATCCTGAGCACCCCGATAGACGTACCCAGCTTTATTTGGTCTCTACCGCAACGGCTATCTCCCTAAAGATGTCCATATCATCGGCTATGCACGAACAAAGATGGATGAAGAGGAGTATCACAAACGCACCACCAGTTACATCAAGAACCCTAACAACGATCCTGAAGTCGCTGCCAAAATCGAGGAATTCAAGAAATTATCCTCCTATGTCTCTGGCAACTATGATGATAATCCTTCTTTCCAAAATTTGGCAAGACACATGGAGGCTATCGAGAAGGGCTATAAAACTCGCGGTGTAAATCGCCTTTTTTACCTTGCCCTCCCGCCGTCCGTGTTCGTTCCTGTTGCACAACATGTCAAAGTGTGCTGCTACGCGACAAATGGAACCAATCGCATTATCGTTGAAAAGCCCTTTGGCAAGGATCTTCAATCCTGCAGGGAACTCCTGTCCTCACTCAAGCAGTCGTGGCAAGAGGAGGAGACCTATCGTATTGACCACTATCTCGGCAAGGAGATGGTGAAGAATTTGTTGGTCCTCCGTTTCGCCAACGTCGCCATGGGTGCTGCGTGGGACAAGCATTCAATCAGCAGCGTCCAGATCAGTTTCAAGGAGCCCTTTGGCACAGAGGGTCGTGGTGGTTATTTCGACGAATTTGGCATCATCCGTGACATCTTGCAAAACCGTGAGTCTCCTGTGAGTTTGTGTGGGAAGGGGCTGCCACGCTAATGCGTGTGTACACTCAGATTTGTTGCAGGTCCTGAGTATCTTGACCATGGAACGACCTGTCTCGTTTGCGTCGGAGGACATTCGGGACGAGAAGGTTATCCCTGCTCATTAGAAGCATTTCTTGTGTTCTCACGCTGGTTTGTTCTTCCCAGGTCAAGGTGCTTCGGTCCATCCCACCTATCAAGCGGGAGGACGTGCTTCTAGGCCAATATGTCGGAGCCAATGGGAAGCCAGGTTACCTGGATGACGACACTGTGCCGAAAGGCTCTGTCTGCCCAACGTTTGCTGCTACTACGCTCTGGATTAATAACGAGCGGTGGGAAGGCGTTCCGTTTATCTTGAAGGCGGGAAAGGGTATGTTCCGTCTCGGATTACACTCATACAATAGCCCCTGACAAATTATGTACTTCAGCCTTGAATGAGGCAAAGGTTGAAATTCGCGTGCAATTCAAGGATGTCACAAGTGGAATTTTCAAGGATATTTCACGCAACGAACTCGTCATCCGCATTCAGCCATCGGAGGCCGTTTATCTGAAACTGAACACCAAGACGCCTGGATATGCGTTCCGCGCAATTCCGACTGAGATGGACCTCACATACAAGAGGCGATTCACGGACACAAATATTCCGGAGGCATATGAGGCACTGATCCTGGATGCGATCAAGGGTGACCACTCGAATTTTGTCCGAGATGACGAACTGGATGTTGCATGGAAGGTAAGCATGCTGCTGCAAGCCATGGTCGAGAAGTGCGATTGATCGCCAATGTACTAGATTTTCACCCCCATTCTGCACTGGATAGATGGGAGAGAAGGACCGCGCCCTAAGCCCTCGCCCTACCCATATGGCTCTCGGGGACCTAAGGAGCTTGATAGTTTCATTGAGAAGCTGGGCTACAAGCGTGGCACAGGAGAAGACTAGTAAGCATACACGTGGCCCGATTCGGAAAGTATACGATGCTAACTGGAATTGCGCTACAGCAGCTGGCCCACGACGAACGTGTCTAATTTGTGAATGGGGATGTGTAGTAGTAGAATCGGTTTATCTTCTCGCTGCACGAGGTTCTGGTGTGTAGGAAAAGTGATATACTTTCGTAAATTGACTTGCATGTGTCTTTCATGATTCTGGAAATCGGTAGCCATGATTGTATGTCCTAAAGTATTGTTACATATATGCAGTAGTTGTGGCGGTTCCGGTCAAGACAGGAGGTGTGTGCGAAGGGTGACCGGTCATCATTGGAAGGGCCAGGATCGGCGATCCGTTGCAGCATGAGTTTATTAAAACGAATAACGTTTAAATTGGGCGTGGAAAGTGTAGCCGGGAGAGCATCGTGAATCTCTTGAAATCGAGTTTGGATCTTCGCTTTGCTGCATACTGAATCGTCCTAGGCCTGTTCGCCTGCTCTCATACGAGGTAAGAAACTGCCTTTTGTCTTGCCGCGGAGCAAATCTATGCGAACCCTCAAGCTCGTCTTTCATTCATCCTTATAGTATTGCTGATGAACTCTGGCACCCGTAAGTCTAGATTCCTCTCATTTCGTGTGCTCATATAACTGTCGCATAGCCCTTCTTCATTGCTCTTCGTCAGTGCAGCCCCAGTAACAGATATTTGGAAAGTTATGGACCATCCTTCTCCAAAGGTCATTCTACCTCTTCTGCACTGTCCTCTTTGCTCGTCATCTCGTCATCTAACAGACCCAACCACTCTACGATGTGGTCACACCGTCTGTTCATCACATATGACCTCAGATTTATGCCCAATCCCAACTTGTTCATCTACCCCACCAAGTTTCACGCCTACTATTCCATCTGGTTCTCGAGTCGCGTTCTTTCCAGCGATTACAGACAGTCGTACGAGTCCTCCTGAACCAGCTGAACGAAGAATTGATGTCAAAGTGAGAAAGTTGGTGGAATTGGTAATGAAGGCCGCAGAGGATGAGGTCGAGCAGTCTGACCACCTTGTGGACATCTATTCTGACTCCGGAGACGATTCTGATGACGAACAGCAGGAGCCAGTCGCTTCTCCATCGTCACCGTCATCAACTGACCGTCCCGTCACACCTGTCTCTGGCTCCTCCCCTACGTCAACAGGCTCTTCTCGACCACGGAAGCGGCGTCGACGTCATACGTCCAATCCACGTCTACCGGATTTTCATCCTTCGGACCCTGAGGCTATATCGCTAGCCGAATTTGACAAGAGCCTCACTACGGAGTTGACGTGCGAGATCTGTTTTATGCTGCTTTACCAGCCTATCACAACGCCTTGTCAACATGTACGTGTGTACAACTCCTGGTCGGTATGAAAGAACCCTGATGACAGCAATGCCAGACTTTTTGCTCTAAATGCTTACAGAGATCGCTAGATCATAGCTTGTTATGTCCACTATGTCGCGTGGAATTACCTGGCTTCACTTACTTTCATGAACACTCGTATAACAAAGTTGTCCTTGCTCTTCGTCAGTAAATCACGTGTGGCTCTTGCATTCATCTAATTTCCTGTCAACGTGCAGTGCTCAAAGCTTACCCTGAGTCCTATGACGCAAGGGGACAAGCAATTGCGACAGAAGAGCGCGACGCAC